CAAATGCTACCTCTTTAATAGGTTAATAGGTTAATGGAATAAAGCTGAACAAACGCAAGAACATACGAGATGGTACAAACAAGACAAAAAAACAAATACATTCTTGACTTGGAACGTGACCTTGAACCTCGACAATTCATGGCAGTATGGCAATGGTGAGTTGTCACATTCCTACTGGCAACTCCATGGTGCGTTCTCAAAACAGCCGTCTTCAGACGTGGGTATGAATGTAACATCGTTCACGAAAGCCATTCGCTGCAGATTTTGATTCATTTCCCAAGTAAACACTCCAATCCCACATTCTTTGCAATGAAATAAAATTATTAAATCAATCCAAACACTGCCTTGCTTGTATAGGTTGCCATGTCTCCCTTGAATACGACTAAACATGCCCTTACCAGATTACAAATCATTTTCACCGTTAGCCAAGATCAATCCACTGCATGATGAAGAGCTCTGCAAAAACAGTCACCATGTCTCACAGCTATGAGAAGAATCAACCTAGCACCTGCAGACAAACGAATTTCATCGCTCCATATCCACGGAAGTTGTAATCTCCGACACATTAAATTCATCAGCTGCCACTCCGTAACTCTTCTTGACCATTGGCCATCAACCTCTTCGTACGTGGCAGATGCTATGTTGGACAGACGGGACGTAACATTAGTGTAAGAGTAAAAGGATACCAAAGAAATATTAAATACTCACAAACACAACTGTCGGCAGTTGCAGAACATGCCTGCCAACAAGGACACTCAATTGATTTTGATAACGTTGAATTGTTGTGTAAAACTAATCATTACTGGCCGAGACTAATTCGACAATTTATTGAAACTGAGAGAAATACAAATAATTTTAACCGCTCTGACAACTATAGGCTTTGCGCGGCCTGGAAGCGTATTAATCTTGATTTTAAGCTTTCGTTATTTTTTCTACCTACGTGACTTTACCGAAAGAACCAAAGAGTATGGTAGCGTATTATTAAGTAATACACCTTACAACTGTATTCCTGAAGAAACACATGCTAATGAACTAATCTATTATATAATTACAGTAACCCCTCCTCCCCCTCTGCACCTGATGGGTTCACAGTGATGACGTCATCTTGCACTATTTAAGACCGGAAGCAGATGGATTTCTTCACGATTTCTGGCAAATGGCCCGCTGATGCTGGATGTAATTACCAGCAAAACGTCGCAGTCAAATTGTAAATGTTGGGGATTTACTCTCCAACACACCGGCTGAAATAGTAACTCATTGGCGTTTTGTTTACGCGACAAACCTTCTCTGGCTGTGTCGGGTGCTGGAGGGTTACGACACATGTAGGCTTACGTGACCTAACCCAAACACCTTTATTATGAATCAACGAAAGGACCTTATTTAGCGTTAATCTCATGAACTGCCAGAGAAACAAAGGGGGAATTGCAAGATGCAGGTGAACATTAATCTTGCTCCAAAAGCATGCTCAGGCTCGCAATTTATTTTTATCTTAGACGAATTTCCCATTGCAACACACAACAATCTTTTTATATATTCGCTTCGGGCAAGCTGTCATTACGCACTGAACTATGTGTAAGAATTACATAATCGCTCAAACAAATACACTTCGTATTTTATTTACGTGGAATTTGCATTCATTTTGTAAACAATTGATAAATCGTCAGTTATAACCATCACAGATAAATAAGGTAACCATGTAAAGGTTAAAACAGTGCGAGAAACAATAATGAAACCAAGTGTCCAAACTAATTTGTGCGACACAGACAGTCGCACGTGTTTATGATTATTTGTCGTGAAGAAGACGTTGCTGGAGCACACGTGCATTAGAAATGTGGCAAGCGAATACGCAAAAGAAACTATTACCTAAGAATGAACAGAGCAGGGCATGAAAGCCTACAGCTTAAAATAAGCTGTTGTTTGACGCGCTGCCAAAATTCGGGTGTGGAAAACGCAAAATTACGCAATTCGCACGCACAACGACTGACTGACCTGCCAGCTCGCGCCCGACATCGCCCGTGCCAACGTGAACTCAACATGATCGTTTACTCCACACAATCAAGGTGAGCTTTGTGTGCAGCAAGGTTGGCTGCGTATGGTGCGAAAGAGGTTCAACATGCAATGGCCAGTCTGAGATTCGTGACAAAAAGCTCTTGGCCTTAAGCATTATGAAAAGCCACCAGTTATCTGAAGAACTGCATTGTGGTCGCCTTGTCTTAATTCACCATCAATAAATTGAGCCAATTTGACCTGTAAGTTATCTGCTGCTCAATTTATTGAAGTATGTTGAACTTTTTTCGCACTGTTTGTAGCCAACCGTGCTAATCGGAAGTGCGGGGGAAGAACAACAAACTCAATTGATGGTGACTTAAAGACAAGATGTCAACAAATGCAGTTCTGCAGGAACTGGTGGTTTTGCTCAATGCTTTTTGTACACACTCGCATGCTAATTTTTTGCATGTTGTGGAAACTTGTTGTTTTTTTTCTGGCCTGCCAAAATGTTATTCTGTAGTAATGGGTTTCTTCGTTATTTACAGATTTCAAACATTAACCGGCGCTGCTGAAAACACACACACACACGGATTAGTTACTCATGTACAGTTAAAGCCCTTAGCGGATATAATCACGCAGGCTTACGGTCCTGAAGCAGCTGGTCTACGCCAAACTGCGTGCCGTTGTGTTAACGCACACACATGTTCACACGCACATGTGAACGAATGAAAGTAGCATCCACCTGTCCTGCTTTGAAAATTTAGATTCGAGTTGTTTTTTTTTTATCAGTTTATAATACAGGTACAGTGAGGGAAAAAAGTATTTGATCCCCTGCTGATTTTGTACGTTTGCCCACTGACAAAGAAATTATCAGTCTATAATTTTAATGGTAGGTTTATTTGAACAGTGAGAGACAGAATAACAACAAAAAAATCCATAAAAACGCATGTCAAAAATTTTATAAATTTATTTGCATTTTAATGAGGGAAATAAGTATTTGACCCCCTCCCAATAAGAAAGATTTCTGGCTCCCAGGTGCCTTTTATACAGGTAACAAGCTGAGATTAGGAGCACACTCTTAAAGGGAGTGCTCCTAATCTCAGCTTGTTACCTGTATAAAAGACACCTGTCCACAGAAGCAATCAATCAATCAAATTCCAAACTCTCCATCATGGCCAAGACCAAAGAGCTCTCCAAGAATGTCAGGGACAAGATTGTAGACCTACACAAGGCTGGAATGGGCTACAAGACCATTGCCAAGCAGCTTGGTGAGAAGGTGACAACAGTTGGTTCGATTATTCGCAAATGGAAGAAACACAAAAGAACTGTAAATCTTTTCATTTAAAGCTTTCGTGACTGCAGTAATTCATATTCTTAGCTCTTTCTGTAAAGTCACGGCCTGGGGCTCCATGCAAGATCTCACCTCGTGGAGTTGCAATGATCATGAGAACGGTGAGGAATCAGCCCAGAACTACACGGGAGGATCTTGTCAATGATCTCAAGGCAGCTGGGACCATAGTCACCAAGAAAACAATTGGTAACACACTACGCCGTGAAGGACTGAAATCCTGCCGCGCCCGCAAGGTCCCCCTGCTCAAGAAAGCACATGCCCGTCTGAAGTTTGTCAATGAACATCTGAATGATTCAGAGGACAACTGGGTGAAAGTGTTGTGGTCAGATGAGACCAAAATGGAGCTCTTTGGCATCAACTCAACTCGCCGTGTTTGGAGGAGCAGGAATGCTGCCTATGACCCCAAGAACACCATCCCGACCGTCAAACATGGAGGTGGAAACATTATGCTTTGGGGGTGTTTTTCTGCTAAGGGGACAGGACAACTTCACCGCATCAAAGGAACGATGGACGGGGCCATGTACCGTCTAATCTTGGGTGAGAACCTCCTTCCCTCAGCCAGGGCATTGACAATTGGTCGTGGGTGGGTATTCCAGCATGACAATGACCAAAAACACACGGCCAAGGCAACAAAGGAGTGGCTCAAGAAGAAGCACATTAAGGTCCTGGAGTGGCCTTGCCAGTCTCCAGACCTTAATCCCATAGAAAATCTGTGGAGGGAGCTGAAGGTTCGAGTTGCCAAACGTCAGCCTCGAAACCTTAATGACTTGGAGAAGATCTGCAAAGAGGAGTGGGACAAAATCCCTCCTGAGATGTGTGCAAACCTGGTGGCCAACTACAAGAAACGTCTGACCTCTGTGATTGCCAACAAGGGTTTTACCACCAAGTACTAAGTCATGTTTTGCAGAGGGGTCAACTACTTATTTCCCTCATTAAAATGCAAATCAATTTATAACATTTGTGACATGCTTTTTTCTGGATTTTTTTTATTATTCTGTCTCTCACTGTTCAAATAAACCTACCATTAAAATTATAGACTGATCATTTCTTTGTCAGTGGGCAAACGTACAAAATCAGCAGGGGATCAAATACTTTTTTCCCGCACTGTACTCTACTTATGTGTGTCAGTTGAACTGCTTATTCTTTATCATATTCAGGTCAACATGTAGAACTTCTTTCGTGTCATACGTAGCCAAACAATTGAAAATAATTTTTATTGTTTTATATATATTTTGTTATTTTGTTGTTTCTCTTCAACGTGACTTTACCGAAAAAACTAAGAATATGAATTACTGCAGTCACGAAAGCTTTAAATCAAAAAATAATTTTCTGTTTGGAGTCAAAATGAAAAAGCTCGCTATACTGACTGGCAAGATGTCATTTATAAAGTATACACAATTTTATTTTTACCAGGTAAGGCCCACTGAGCTACAGAGCTCTTTTTTAGAAGCGACCTGGCCACAAATGATAGCCCAATGAAGTGGCTCATCATGTGGAAATGTAGAGCAGTTAATCTGTTGTCACCACGAACCAGTTGCTGTTCACACAGCCCCGCAAGCACGCGGCTCCCACCTTGTCAGGATTATCGACGCTGCGTCTCTTCTCCCGTTTTCCTGCGCACTGGTCAACTCAACCTGTGCACCCGCGAGAACCCGCTCACCTTGTCGCTGTCCAGCGTGTTCTGGGAGGTGCGCGAGGTGATGGAGATGGTGTCGGGCTGTGAGCTCCCATCGCCCTGGCTGTCCCCATCCTCCCCTCCGCTATCCCTGCCACGCAAAAGAGCACAAGCTAGTCGCCGCTGCGATGTGTGACATAGATCCTCAGCCTTAACAGACTGTTGGGCCAAGTGCTGTTTGCGAGCACCTATGAAAGCCGGTACAGCACACGAGGGTGTGCGTGGGTGGCCAGCGCCATGCTCGGCCACGTTTTTCCTCTGAGTGGCAATGTTTTCACACCGCACGAGGTACTCATTTTGAGGCCGAGTCGATATAGGAGAGGCCCAGAACCGGTTCAAATAATCGTCACTGGTGTTGGCCATGAGCGGAAATCGAACTGGGGTCACATGGTTCGTAGCACAGAACGCTAACCACTAGACTACCCCTCCCTACACGAGCACACACACACGGGTGACACGCACACACACGGATGATTTGCTCTATGCAAATGTATCATGCACATGGCACGCACACAATGTGATACAAATTGGATTCGTATCCCATCGAAGGGATGGTGGGGCCGACTATGAAAAATATGGAGTGAAATCGTGAAATATTAAGGAGGACATGGAAGATAGAGGTGAATACTGTTGAGTGGTGGACATAGAGGAGAGATGTGGGAGGAAGCACAGATTACCAAGGGTAGTATTCGCTCATCCTCCAAGAATCAGCCGGTATCATCAAGCATTGAGTACGGAACACACAAAGACTGCCGTGAGGTAGGGAAAGCAAACCGAATGAGAGAGTCTACAAAATCGACAGGGCATCAGGGATGAGAATAGCGGACACCTCTTGGAGGAAGCCTTGTGCTTCATGCCGGCTGTGGACTTGGGCAGGTGGATAGGCTCCTTGAGCGCCCCCTTGAGGTGGATGGTGCGCTCCTGGATGGCTTCTCGGATGTGCTTTATCCAGTCCTGCTTGGTGTCGATGCTGGACGCCTGGCAAACGCGGAGGGTGGCGGCGAGGGGGGGGGGAGCATGACGGATGCTCTGCATCACACGAGGCTCGTGTTCGTGCCGCTCCTTATTCCTAAACATTTTTTTTGTAATTGTTTAAAGGGTGGTGACCTTTTTTGTTGTTGTGTCGTATGACCTTTAAACTTCCTTGACACCACCACACTTGATCGGGCCCCCCCCACTAGTAGCCTAACAGCACGGTAATTTACCCAGGGGAAAATTCCATCTGCTCATTTCATGTGCTTTGGACACAAGCGGCATGTGTTAATGATTGTAAAATAATGACTGCATACACAAGATTCTTACGACATTTTTTAGTATAGACTCTCAACCCTGACTTTGAACCCTTGACAAAATGGCCACATTTCCAAAAGCAAACCACGCGGCAGCCACTACCGCTGGGAAAAAAATTATTGGGGGGGAAGTGTGAGAACACGACCAATGCAATCTCAACCGTGCACAAGGCAAAGACACACAGACAAAGACACACAGATGCCATGCAGAATGATGCATCATGGGTCCTCCGACCGCTGTGTGGGCAGTGGAGCTCAGAACGACTCCAGGAACAAGACCAAGACCGTAGCTTACAGCTCGAAAAGCAGCTTTCAAGAGATTGAGATCTTTGTCACTGTGCGAGTATTCCATGATGGACAATTGGCGATTCTGTGACATAATGTAAATAAGCATGACAAGGATATTGTATATAGGTGTATGCGAGTGCATTTAGGTAATATGATCGATAAATTAAACAAATGTATGACTATAAGTCCAAGTTTCTTAGACTACCGTTGTTTAATGCATATTATGATGCTGTTGATCTAATTCTATTTTCACACAAGCTGCCTTGAATGTGATGATAATCGAACAACTCATCGGAGGTATTATATCAAGCAGAACAGGTTAGGGGTTACCTTCAGCACGAGCTTGTTGTCAGATGTCGGAGTGCGACCAACCCACAGGGTGAATTTACAGGCATCGCCCTCCACGTGGTCAGATACCCCAAGCTCCGACGTCTGCACGCATACATACACACATACGTGCGCACAACCAAAATGCAACCCTCATTCATCATGGTGCCGTCGTCGTCAGGTCTTAAGCACAGCAAAGATCACATGCAGTGATAAAAGTTGGTTCCCTGGAGGGCACGTCGAACACCCAGGCGATAATGATGGAGTGGAGGTTGATGGTGTGAGGTCACAGGGCGGACCCGTGCATTAATGATGAAGGCGGAGGTCACGCGACAGACGTAGGTTATTTAAGTTTGCCATTTGGGAATGGCCATTAACCACAAAAAAATATGCCCACCACAACACCCACTACTTGCATAATACATGCATGTTATATCTAAATTACACAAATTGAAAAAGTGACAAAGATCATAATTAGGAGTTGCTTTGCGAGCAACTATTATCACAGGCAGTGCTCAAATGTTAGGGATGGTGCCCACCACCATGTGGGGTGTCAGGTTTATCTTCCAAACATCAATGCTGACACATATTGCACCCAGTACTCACTTTGGACCAAGTAACCCCATTGGAAGCCCACGCAAACCACGGGACAGCAATTAGCATCGAAGGGCGCGACCTGCACTTGATCGCAGGAAGGGACTACGTGGAAATGAGCTAACTAGCAGCACCTCCAACTTCCTTCCACCCACTCGCACGCACACATCCCTCCGCCCCCCTGCCCCCACTTCCCCCAGCTGTGCGCACGAATGCACCCACGCACTCACCAGCAGCTTGTGCTTGTAGAGGTACTTGCTGTTCCCCGACGAGTCGCGCACTTCCTTGCTGAAGACGAGCGCGAGCTCGAAGAGGAACAGGTGGCGCTCGCGACCCTTGCGGATGAGCGTCTTGGGGTCCCACACCTGGAAAGACTCCTGCAGGATCAGCTCGCCCTGCGCATCGAGGTTCTCGTCGAAACCTGTCCCGGCACACGGGCAGAGAGAGGCGTATACATATACAATGATATAAGATAAGGATGCCCCGCTACATTTCCTCGCACATCTACACTCCCTGCCTTCGCCAACTCACAGTGACCAGTGTTCAACGAAGCCTGATCACATGACCACAATGGCCGGCACATGTGTATGTATGTATGTATGTTGAACTTCTTTCGTACCATACGTAGCCAACCGTGTTCAACAGAGGTGCGGGGGAAAGGACGAAAAACTTAACAAACAAAAACAGGCGCAGGGAAGTCCTCGTCAAACAGTGTATTGACAAAAAATAAAGGTGTTGCACGGTGCAGGGATCTGGTCAGTTAAGATGGCCTGTGCTAACGGTTGGTCAGCACTCACCCTCCAGCATGCTGAGATGCATGGCATCGTTGGCTCTCTTGGGGACACTGAGCATCACCTCCAACGCCTCCTTGAGCTCGCCCGTCCGCTCGTCGCAACACGTGAGTAGCTCCTGCGCGAGATCCCATTCACGACGAAAGCAATGACTACACACCCGCAGCAAGGAGCAAAATCTCACATCCAGCTGTCAATGACTACACACCCGCAGCAAGGAGCAAAATCTCACATCCAGCTGTCAATGACTACACACCCGCAGCAAGGAGCAAAATCTCACATCCAGCTGTCAATGACTACACACCCGCAGCAAGGAGCAAAATCTCACATCCAGCTGTCAATGACTACACACCCGCAGCAAGGAGCAAAATCTCACATCCAGCTGTCAATGACTACACACCCGCAGCAAGGAGCAAAATCTCACATCCAGCTGTCAATGACTACACACCCGCAGCAAGGAGCAAAATCTCACATCCAGCTGTCAATGACTACACACCCGCAGCAAGGAGCAAAATCTCACATCCAGCTGTCAATGACTACACACCCGCAGCAAGGAGCAAAATCTCACATCCAGCTGTCAATGACTACACACCCGCAGCAAGGAGCAAAATCTCACATCCAGCTGTCAATGACTACACACCCGCAGCAAGGAGCAAAATCTCACATCCAGCTGTCAATGACTACACACCCGCAGCAAGGAGCAAAATCTCACATCCAGCTGTCAATGACTACACACCCGCAGCAAGGAGCAAAATCTCACATCCAGCTGTCAATGACTACACACCCGCAGCAAGGAGCAAAATATCACATCCAGCTGTCAATGACTACACACCCGCAGCAAGGAGCAAAATCTCACATCCAGCTGTCAATGACTACACACCCGCAGCAAGGAGCAAAATCTCACATCCAGCTGTCAATGACTACACACCCGCAGCAAGGAGCAAAATCTCACATCCAGCTGTCAATGACTACACACCCGCAGCAAGGAGCAAAATCTCACATCCAGCTGTCAATGACTACACACCCGCAGCAAGGAGCAAAATCTCACATCCAGCTGTCAATGACTACACACCCGCAGCAAGGAGCAAAATCTCACATCCAGCTGTCAATGACTACACACCCGCAGCAAGGAGCAAAATCTCACATCCAGCTGTCAATGACTACACACCCGCAGCAAGGAGCAAAATCTCACATCCAGCTGTCAATGACTACACACCCGCAGCAAGGAGCAAAATCTCACATCCAGCTGTCAATGACTACACACCCGCAGCAAGGAGCAAAATCTCACATCCAGCTGTCAATGACTACACACCCGCAGCAAGGAGCAAAATCTCACATCCAGCTGTCAATGACTACACACCCGCAGCAAGGAGCAAAATCTCACATCCAGCTGTCAATGACTACACACCCGCAGCAAGGAGCAAAATCTCACATCCAGCTGTCAATGACTACACACCCGCAGCAAGGAGCAAAATCTCACATCCAGCTGTCAATGACTACACACCCGCAGCAAGGAGCAAAATCTCACATCCAGCTGTCAATGACTACACACCCGCAGCAAGGAGCAAAATCTCACATCCAGCTGTCAATGACTACACACCCGCAGCAAGGAGCAAAATCTCACATCCAGCTGTCAATGACTACACACCCGCAGCAAGGAGCAAAATCTCACATCCAGCTGTCAATGACTACACACCCGCAGCAAGGAGCAAAATCTCACATCCAGCTGTCAATGACTACACACCCGCAGCAAGGAGCAAAATCTCACATCCAGCTGTCAATGACTACACACCCGCAGCAAGGAGCAAAATCTCACATCCAGCTGTCAATGACTACACACCCGCAGCAAGGAGCAAAATCTCACATCCAGCTGTCAATGACTACACACCCGCAGCAAGGAGCAAAATCTCACATCCAGCTGTCAATGACTACACACCCGCAGCAAGGAGCAAAATCTCACATCCAGCTGTCAATGACTACACACCCGCAGCAAGGAGCAAAATCTCACATCCAGCTGTCAATGACTACACACCCGCAGCAAGGAGCAAAATCTCACATCCAGCTGTCAATGACTACACACCCGCAGCAAGGAGCAAAATCTCACATCCAGCTGTCAATGACTACACACCCGCAACAAGGAGCAAAATCTCACATCCAGCTGTCAATGACTACACACCCGCAGCAAGGAGCAAAATCTCACATCCAGCTGTCAATGACTACACACCCGCAGCAAGGAGCAAAATCTCACATCCAGCTGTCAATGACTACACACCCGCAGCAAGGAGCAAAATCTCACATCCAGCTGTCAATGACTACACACCCGCAGCAAGGAGCAAAATCTCACATCCAGCTGTCAATGACTGCCGCGGCAAGTTTCTGCTCGTGATCAAATGTCAAGCATAAAGTGTCCGCTTTAGTTTTTTGTCACCGAGGGAATAGCAAGGTCAAAGTTTCGGCTCACTGGCCTGACCAAGGAAGTAAGAGAGGCTGACATTGAGAGTCCCGTGTACAACCAAGTGCTAAGGAGAAGGACTATCACGCAAAACGTCGCCTAGTTTTTTTCTTTTAAGGCAGTGTTGTTGATGAATGTGTTGAATTTCACATATACTGGAGAGGATGTGGTAGAACTGTTCCGTGGGAGATGTTAGCATTCCTCTTGGAACGTCATTCTCCAGTGTGTGTGACGAATGGCATTCGAGACAGAAAACCAAAGGCCTGCACAGTATGGCAACTGCTGTTTGTACTTTGTAGTACTCTACCCAGCCGATATAAATATTGGTAGTATGTGAAATGTGTGGAGACGTAAATATGACCGGCCACTTTCAGATCACTGGGTTCAGTTATTCTACAGGAGGCCCAAGTCAGTTTCAATCACCAACTGTCACTGGGTGTTAAGCATGGCCTAAAAGTGAACGTGGATTTGCAAGGATCATACGGCTGAGTTATAATCACTACATGGCTGCTTCACAAAGCTGGCACAGCATCAACCACACAGCCACGGACACCAATACAACCATGGCCACTACTTTAACATGACTACAGCCATCAACCATTGCCACTACTCACAAACACTCCACACAAAAAAAACACCACGACTGCAACTGCAGCCATCCATGAGCATTCCACCACAACCACCACTGCGACGACGCACACCACAAACAGCGATATCATCGTCATCACAAATACAGCCATTACAAGTGTAATGGGTTCAACTGAGTCGCAGACGTAGACTTTGGAGGCAACACATGTATTCAGTTCCAACACACAGATAACAGCCTAAGGTGGTGACCACCCGGCTAACTACACTACTTACAACGTGACTGGTGTATTTAGCCTGGTAGTGACCACCAGGCTAACTACACTAGTTACAACGTGACCGGTGTAATTAGTCTTGTGGTGATCACCAGGTTAACTACACTAAATTTCGATTTAAAGCTTTCGTGACTGGTGTAGTGAGCCTGGTGGTGACCACCAGGCTAACTACACTAATTACAACGTAACTGCTACTACGAACCGGGACCAACGACTTCGGCTCGGGTCCACGTGTTGGAGACTCGTTGAACGGAGATCATACACGAAGGGTTTCTTCCCGGATGAACAACAACTCCGGCCCCTCTCGGGACCCGGCTTATATTCTCTCTGGCGTGGCTGGTTCCGCCCTTGGCCACGTCCACCTTCCAGAATCCTCAGGAAGAATCTGGGTCCCAATCACGTGACCCCCTAGCCCCCTCTTGGGGCCCCTCTGTCAACTTAACCGGTCACGTGTCCTCCCGGGTGAACCAGAGTGCCATGGCCTCACACAACCCTATCCTTCGGTCGGCACCCACACACCCTGTCCTGTAGGGTCGGCACTGCACTTAAAGCATGGTGTCATCCAGCGCTATTATTCAGCGCACACCGTGGTATCTGGCGATATCGCTCTACCGCACGCCGTGCCCCTCTAGGGCCGGTACTGCACCCACATCATGGTGACATCCAGCGATGTCACTACACAAGCACCATCACACAAACCACCACCGCCACAACGACTCCACACCGCACCACAGCGTGCACCACGCGGCCACCCACCTTGAGCAGCAGCTGATACTTGGTGATTCGCTGCACGGGCTTAATGAGGTAGGAGGAGATGGTGTTGGCCAGGCCGTGCCGCTGTTGGATCTCCTGTGGGTGAGAGTCGGGCAGGCAGCACACGAATCAGAGAAGGCAAGCGAGGTAAGAACGAGCAAGCGTCCGTCGAGGGGGCAAGCGACGCACAATCCACGTGGGTGCACAGCTCATCTGGCGTATTTGGCTCAGACATCCCGTGGAGGTGGATAAAGACCACCTTCTGTATCGAATTTGCACTTCCCAGTGTGTAATTGTTTTAGGGCCATCTGGCGCACACCTTTCATATGACATTTAAAAGTAGATCTAAAAGCTATAAGTAGCGTACTTCGAGAGGCAAAGAAACGCATCGCGAAGGAATTTTACGGACACAGACTCGGAAGAGGAAAAAATGACACATGGGGGTATTCAGGAATCGTGTGGTTATGGCCGGTGCATGACGAAGTGAGACGGAAGGGTTAAAGAGCCTTTTCTCATTTCAGAAACTACGAGGGGCTTTTATTCTTACGGTTGAGGCCCCATCAGGACAAATCTTTTCGCTTGATCAGGTTTATTTACAACGCTGAATTTATTTCCAACTTGTGTAGTCACTGCAGTGTCAACGAATTACTTAACGAACCCCATATTTTATTTGCAGCACCTCGTTCCGCTAAGTCCCAAACGTCAAAAGCTGTGGGTTCTCAACATCAAAGCACACAGACCCTTAAACATAATGCCTTTACATAACTACCAATTTTCAGATGCCTAAAGCTTTGGATAATGTTCTTGTTGACATTTACTGAAGCACATGGCAATGAAAATCATTGATAAACTTATAAAACACCACATAGCTTGGGTTTAAAAACCGCTGGCTTGGAGCACCATAATTTAAACGACCCAATGCTCACCACACACACTACACACATTTGTATAAATCAGAGTTTGAGTTTATTTGATTTGTTACATGGATGGTCGCGTTTAAGGCAGTTGCCTAGCTACTTTAGAATGAAGATCTGTAGTGTGTGAGCACCACAAATGCTGTTGGTTACCATAAATCTGGTGGCCCAATAGGCCAATAGCCTAAAAGTTACGTGAAGATACAGAACACAAAATGATAAATTTAACGTGCACTCTACGTAGTTCAGCTGTGCGGCGGCACAGTGTTCAAACTGTCTATTGTGTTGGCGTTGACAGGCACACATGCAGACCCGCATCACCACCAGGTATACAATTGTTTACATATATAATATACCAGACGGCCATAATGTGGTTTTGTTGCCACTGAAGTTGTAAACGTTACAAAGCACGACTGTTTCTTTTGTTTAAAAAAAACCTAGGAAAATTGGGGGGCGTGATTGTCTCAGCACATGGGAGATAAGATAAGAATATAAAAATAACTTCATGAATCTACAAGTGCAGGGGATGCGGCGTAGATGTAGGGAGGAAGCATTCTGCAGGCATTACTCACATCAAAAAATGTGCCGGCGTGATCCATGATGAGCTGCGTGGAGTCGGGCTTGTTCTTGCAGTAGGACACGTACATCTGGAACTTGTCCGCCTGCGAGCAGACAAAGGATCATAGACGCACTGTGAACTCCGGCACTCCCACGAGGCCTTCTCGTTAAGCTTCGCGAAACTCCTTACAGTGTAACGATCATCACTCGAGTATTCATTTTTCAGAGAAGATGGCACTAACACAAAGATATAAAATTATCGTGTCCACCCATTAGCTCCATTAAGACCTTTTAATACCAACATGTCCCATATAAGGAATCGTGGATTTGTAAAGGTTACTTTTACAAAAATAAATAATAGTATTTGCGAAGAACTGGAATGTTTGTTGTTCATGATTCTACAAAAATAGATAAGCCAGTGAATGATATAAACACTGTCCACGATGATAAGGCATGTGTAGAGAGGGAGCAAATGATGCATTTAAAAATGTGAAATCATTAATCATGAAAAGTTCAAGTCTCTAATTATTGTCGGCTGGGTCACATGTAGCTATGAAGCCACTGCAATGTGTATCTGTAATGGCATATGACCCCGAAGCCATTACCAGGACGATGTGGCGACACAGACGATGCATCTCATCGTTCCCACGTAATTTTTAAACCGAGTATTTCCTCACGTTTATGTTGGACTTGAATTGGCATGCATTTAGGTACAAACGATAAGTTTTGTTTATTTAATATTTATTATTTTTATTAATTTGTACCTATCTACGTGACTTTACCGAAAGACCCAAAGAATATGAATTCCCGCAGTCACGAAAGCTTTAAGTCAAGATTTTGTCTGGTAAAGTCTGGTAAAAGCATTACCCCACAATGGCCAACTCGTATGAATAAATTAATATAAGAGACACCGAAGTTATAATAAAGACCAATTAATTCATACTAAATAAGGCCAAAATTACCAAGCAGAAACATACTTAATTACAAGTGCTGAGGCTCAAGTTAGGCTTTCATACATAAAATGCATTCATGTTATTACAATAAAATAACGAAAGGTACTGTATTCATCACAATTTTCGTAACCATAAGTCCAAGTTTAATTTCAATGTTCATACTCGTTGCGCCTTCAATTGCCCAAGTTCCAGCCACCCATCATCAAGCAGAGCTGAGTATCTAACTTCACCATTGCCAAATCCAAGCCCATTAACATCTGACAGTAATAATGCAGTCATTTCTAACTAAATGTCAATTTGTAATGGTGCGGACCTTGAAACTCATTACACACAAAGTGCTTCGGGACACAAATTACCCACAATACCTTGCTGATCTCGTCAAGGAGCATAAACCATTACGCAAACGCCGGTCGTCCTCGCAGCGGCTTTTGGCTCGCCACAGAACAAAGACGGTGGTCACCGCATCGCGCGCTGTCAGACGGGCTTCTGCGGCCGTCTGGAACGCTTTTCCTTCCGATATTAGGAAGCTACTGGAGCCATGCGCTTTTAAATCTACATCGAAAACTCATTTCTTTAGAACTGCTTTCATGTTTAGTTTGTTGTCCATCCCTCGTACCTCTGATCAGCACGGTTGGCGACGGACGGTGCGAAAGAAGTTCAACGTGCATACATACACTAGCACTATGTACCGTGTCCAGAAAAAGTTAAGAGCGGGCACTGACCCAAGTAACAAAACAGTGACCGACGTCCTCAGGAAGCTGCTCATACTTCTCCAACTCCTTGAGGAAGATGCTGCAAGGCAAACATATGACGACATGAGGGGAACGATGATTTTAACGGCCCCTTTTATTTTGCAAGTTTGTTTAGTCTGCCAACATTTACATTACAAATCACGCACGTAACTTGTGCAGAAACAGAAAATAATTTGCGGCAATCATATTTCAGAATTAATAAAAAACACAATATCCCAACATGCCAAGGAAAAAGCCCTCCTGAATAGTATTTTAAACCTACACACCTAAAAACACAGTGCCTAAAGAGTTCATAAGCACTGCCAATGCGTTGTGTTAAGAGCATACAATGCATATAAAATGAAGTGTTGTGGTACAGGAAATGTGTATGAATCTGAAGGTTAGGCATGTAACACTCGCATATAATTTACATATAATGCACATATACACGAGTTCTTCCATGCGTGATTTGTCACATATATTGTGAATGAGAGAATGCACCATTTCCAAATCATATACATTGTATGTAATTGGTTTACGTGACCCCTCGCAACAACTAACCGGTGCTACAACATAACCACAATGCAAAAACATGTATTCAAATTGCGATGCAGAATCGTGACATTCATCTAAATGCTAAGAGGTGAATGATTACAGACCTAGTTGAAGAGCATGTGCTTCAGAGCAAGTGCTCCATGCATCTGTGCATTGCAGTGTGAGTGGGTAATTGCTGCTGGACTGCGTGTGCCCCATGAGCAGCCGCGCGCGAAATGTGCGTGCGTGCACGTACTTGTTGTGGAAGTCAAAGATCTCCTGCATGTTACCGAAGATGGTGTCCTCTTTGTTTATGATGCCAGGAGGGATCTCCTCCACACCACTCGTCATCTCCCACAGATAGATCTTACAAAGACAAAGACCCCCCCCCCCCCGCCGTAAAGCCTTAACAGGCTATTGCTGCAAGCGCTATTAGCCAGCAGCTATGAAGGCTGGCCCGGCACACAAGCGGGAGGTATAGAAGTAGCACCATGCCCAGCCAACTGTGTCTCTCCCTCGTAGTGATGTTTACACACTGCACTAGACACTCATAGAAAACAGAGTCGACCTAGGGGAGGCCCAGTTTAGATATATGCCACCGATGCTGGCTGAAAGAGAAAATCGAATTCAGGTCAATGGGTTCACAGAGCAGTGGGCGAACCACTACGTCATGGCTCTCCTCCACACACACACAAATATAAAATGACAAATAACCCTCTTTACTATGTATACACTCGGCGGACAAGCCATGCCCAAAGATGGGGTGTTGCTCATCTCCTTTGGCTGGCATGAGTCAGAGGTCGATATTCCATTCTATCCATAGGACAACCACTGCTGACTTCCCCCAAAGCGGTATTTATTTCATCATCCACAGGTGGGATGATGGCCTGAGTCGGTGTAGGAATGCAATTAAGTTTGAAACAACAAAAACAAAGATCCCCTGTGTACAGCTTAAACAGACTGTTGGGGGGAAAGCACTGTTCGTGAGCATCTACACAGCGGGGAGTAGTGGCACAGTGGTTAGTGCACTGTGCTATGAATCCAGCAACCCTATTGAGGTCCACACGGCACACGGGGGCGTTGGGTGGCCAACACCACGCTTGGCAACCTTGGCCTCCCCAGTGCTGATGTTCACACAATGCACCAGGTAGTCATTTTTAAGGCCGAACCGAATTAGGGGATGCCCGGGACCATTTCCGATATTCGTCAAATGTTGTTGGTCGTGAACGGGAATCGAACTCGGATGATCAGGTTCGTGGCAATGTGTGCGAACGGCAACAATACCGCACCCCAAAGGTTGGCACACACACACACGTGCTTTGAAATTATGTTCAGAGACATAGCAGTTAACAAGAGTCCCCCCCCCCCCGTTTACTCTTGCAAATGAGCGTGCATGCGCATACACTAAAAATACACAATGCACAAACACAAACAATGGCCTTACTTCCAAACACTCGTGTAGATCGCGTACATATGCCTTCTCTGTCTGCAGCAGCTCAGCCATGATGAACCTGTAACATTGAGCAGATGGTTACCCACACCTTTAAAAAAACTTTTAAAGTATGAAAGAGATATAAAGGCCAATTAAACTTCACAACAGGAGCTCTGGCTTTGATATCCGAGGGATAACACAAGAAAGGGAACGTCCGCGTGCTACTGACATTCACACAAGCGTAACCCCTGCCCTGTGATTAAAGGAGACATTTATAAAAAAAAAGGGCAGTCGTTTTTGTTTAGTCCTTGTTGTGCAATGCAGCATTGTGGGTGGTGAGGAATAAGAACAACTTTGATAATGATGCATTGTGGGAAATATTGAGTGGCAATAATGAAATATAGTGAGCGATACCAACTTGTGGTCATACCGCGTGGGTGAGCTGGAGCGTAGATAATAATGCATTCTGGGTGGGGTTTGGCAAGAGACTGCGGCGAATTTCAGATGAAGTAAAACAGTGATGTGTACTTATGGTGGGTGAGGTGGAGCAGAGAGTGTGATGCATGGGGGGTGTTGATTGGTAATCATGATGGATTGCAGATGAGGTGGAATGGTGGTCAAAATGTATCATGTGTATGGTGCAGCAGAGTTCATGATGCATTGTGGATGATGTTTACTGGTAGTCAATGCATTGGTCATCTGCATTGCAGATGATTTGCACAGGTAGTCATGCTGCACCGATCATGGTGTCGTGTTATTTGGTAGTCGTAATGCACTGTGGGTAAGGTGGATCAGTTCCAGATGCAGTGGGCAATGTTGACTGGTGGTCACAAATCGGCAGAGGTTGCGCTGACATGCAGGCGGCGTGGACCAGTGAGCAAACGCCGGTGTGCCTGGACACTCACTCCTTGCGCCGCGCCGACTTGCGGCGTTCCTCGTCCGTGTGGTTGCTGACCTCACGCAGCTTCACTTGCTCGGCCAGGCTGGCCGGGATTGTGTCCAGCTGCAGCTCGCGCTCTTTCTGCACACGCAAACACCACGCGCGCGAATTACCACATGACCGTTTACAAACTGAGCCCTTATTTCTAGTGATATATTCATCATGAGAGAAACCTGTCGCACGGTGACGTCCAAAAACTTAAAATTTACAAACCCGTCAACAAATACCGCGCATTAGAATCTGGACAGACATACAAGGAGGAACGCTGTCGAAGATTTTTCGCCAAGGATTCATCGTCTTAATCCCATTGCACGCGAAGTTTCTGCCGTGCGAGCGTGCGAGTGCCGTACGTCGGAGGGGACGCCGAGGGCCTTCTCCAGGGCGGCGCGGTACTTGGCCATGCCGCTGGCGAAGTCGCGGTACTGCTTGTCCACCAGCGACACCCACTTCTTGATGTCCCCGGCGTGCGCGTGGCCCTTCTCCACGAAGCTGTCGGCCAGCTGGATCAGCAGTTTCACGCGCTCCTTCGTTTGCTGATGTCGGCGCACGCCCCACGCACGCACGCACGCACCGACCCCGCACGTACGCCGCAGGTCAGCGCGATCGCGCAATGGACGGGACACCGCAGCTCGAGTATGCTGCCACCCACGCGAATATCATGGACAGATTTATACGCGAGCAACCATTGTCGTTCAATTTACAGGTACAGCACAATCAGTGGCGAAAGTTCAAAGCAGCCCTTATAGAACATTCTATGGTGATGATACAATCAGATGAAGCCACCACATGATGTGTAATATTGCGAACAGTGTTCGTAGTGATCACCTATTGTGGAAAATATTTGGCTGGACATATGCATCCTCAACCCTGATACTGTTGGCATGTACTGCAGATGGTACTAATGAGTTGGCCTAGGAAAGACCGTGCCAAATAAAGCGACCTACATTCACTGAGATGCATAGCTCAGCCGCGAACATGGGCGATTGGGGTGAATGCGTGGTACTACTCCCGTCGAACAATTATGTGCAGTGACATGAATCGAACTTGGGTGAGTTTATGGAATGGTGCAGGGGCCACCCCTAATCCCAACAGTACACACACGCAGTCATGCAAGCGCACAGGCACACACACGCACACAAAGGGCAATACACATAAACAAACACACACAACATATTTGCATTAACCCATATTAACCCCGACTGAGATTTGTTCCTTTCAAGCGTCACATTGTGTTATACTGCTCGGGTTCGGACGCGTCACGTGCAAGGCTCGAGCAGCCCAAGCAGCAGGGGACATTTTGCGTGCACATTTGCCTCGAATGGCCCGGCGAGACTCAGGGGGCGAGCCGCGCGTCACACCTTGGCTGCGAGCGTGAACTCATTATGCTCGCGGAGGAGCTCGTGCGTGAACTGGCCGCTCTCCGTGCGCGCGCAGAGGTACGTCTCGCCCGTGCCCTGGATCCAGTCCACGGCCTCGGTTGCCACCAAGCACACGTATATACACACACACACACGTGCAAATAACTCCTGTATGAAACTATAAAAACGAGAAAAATTTTTAGCAGGTAAGGCCCACTGAGCTATATAGCGCTTTTTTAAGAAGCAACCTGGACGCATACGTTAGCTCAACGAAGTGGCTTGTCATGTGGAAATGTATAGCAGCCAAATCCTCGAAAAGACGTGACGTTGATTCTAAATGTGGAGGGAAAAACCGGAGGACCCAGAGAAAAATCCACACCACCACGGGGAGCCAGAATCAGGATCAAACCCACGACCTCTTGTATAACATGCGAGGTAATTAACATCTCCTTTAACAAACTTTTGGGGCAAATGCTGTTAGCGGGCACCAATGAAGGCCGGCATGGCACACAAGAAATCAGATTCATAATATTTATTTATACTGGACGAATCCAATGAGTTCTACAGCTCTTTTTCGGAGATGTCCAGTAAAAGGTTAGGTGGCCAGCACCACACACGGCCACCTTTGTCTCCCTAGTGGCGATCTTTACACACCACACCAGGTACTCATTTGATGCCGAGTCGCCCTAGGGGAGGCCCAGGACCAGTTTAGATAATCGTCACCGGTGTTGGCCGTGAGCGGGAACCGAACTCGGGTCCCTGGGCTCGTAGCGGTCAGTGTAGCGCTTACCGCTACACGACACGCACTCTACGCGCATGCAGTGTGCGTAGTGTAGCGCACGCGCGCAGTGCAAGAGAACACAAGGTCATCGCCTCCACTACATTAGCTTGTCTCATTGTAATTGAAACTGTCTGGCAGGATGTTGAGATTATTATTATTACCTGAATACATAACCAGGAAAGTGCTTCTCTGTTTACTTATTTGTGTAAATATGAGGTCAATGTTTGTGTTAGCCACAAATAAGACAACTGAAAAGTTTGAGCCGCGAAAATCATGAGATTCTCAAAATCCCGATTATAATATATTTGTTAAGTACCTCAATGGAAATGGTGTTGATTAATGAAAGGCTGAGACAATAATAACTGTGCTTAAGAAAGCCAAGTAAACACAGTATGTTCCTTTTTGCCGATTTTATGTAAATGGTTGATGATAATATTAGAATAGCCTCAAACGGTGTGAGACCAGAGGACGCCAAAAGGCGTTTTGGCTCAAAAGAAAGCTGTCTCTGGTGTGGACCAATCCGTTTCAAAGACAATGCATATATTATCAGAGTGTGTTTTTTTTTGTTTGCATTCTGACCACAAGCATTGTGGTTAATGCAGACGCGATTCCTTGTAAAAGGTTTCAGTTTGGTGTTTTAACATCTTAACACCTGTTTTGTTGCCAGAAAAAAGGGGGAAAAAAATCTATTATCATATTTTGATACTGGCAAAGGAGGTCCCATGATGACGATAAAATAATCACCGACGGTTAACGATGATGCAGATGCCACCCCTTTGCCTCGAGTGTCCGCGTGGAACTGCTCTTGCAAAAACGCTGCGAAACGCCGTGCCGTGCGGCCATACAGCGATGTACACACGTGCACACATGCATTGCGGGAGCGAGCTCTGCTGCTGCTGCTGCTGCTATTGATGCACCGGCAGATTTAGTAACACACATAAAAGCAGGTTTCGCACATTACAAAAAAGCTCTTAGCCTTATCCAGACCACCGACTCAAAGAACTGAATGTGCGGCCATTTCGTCATTTCGACCACCAACTGAAAGAGTTCAGAAAATCTGGCCGATCCAAGGCTCAGGGTCTGTGCACATGCAACGCTGCACGAATTTGCGTGTCGTTGAATCGACTCGTTTCCAAGCCCGCGGAAATGTTTTTGTTACGATTGGGGTTTTCTCGACATTTTACAAATTTGGATTCCTGCACCGGTACAACGGACAGATGGTTGAGTCTGCTCACCTGCTTGGCGCTACGCTCAAACACCACATACTGCTGGCACTGGTCCAGCCGGCGCTTACGCATTGTCCAGAAGTGCAGTACGCGGTTCTCTCGCTGCAGAAGCTCGCTCAGGATGGCTGCACAACAGAGATAAAAGCAACAACCCCTTGAGTCCACGCCGACTCCTATTAAATGCAGATAAGCAAGCTCATGGGGGCATGTGAATGTCACAATATGAATGTCGCAATAATTGAACCGATAGGTTTTGTGTTATATTCAAAATCTAAATTATATATACAATTATATATATACATACAGTGTGCACTCTATTTTGGCCTTATATTCTTATGTATTATCCTTGTTCATTGCAAATCTTGTCATCTGCACTATATATTTAGTACATGTATTACATATTTTTAAGGTCGTTAATTGTGTTTACAAATAATATTGTATTTATCAACATAATACAAAGATTGCTACCAAAATGTATCCCAGGTCTCCCTTTTAAATAATGAAGATGTATTAACCTCTTTTTTCCTACCTATCCACCATTTTAGCCACCCACTTAACCACGTAAAAAATAACCAACCTACCCATTCACCCAACTACCTATTTGCCTATCCCCTTCACCACTCACACACTTATACAACCACAATTTCACTAAATATACCTTTTTACTCATTCGCCTATTTGCCTGCTCATCTACTTGTTCATGTAGCCACTGTTCCCACTTGCACACCCAGGGATTTACCAACCCATATACTTACCAATGATTTACTTACATCCTATCAGCCATCCACCCACCCATCCAAACACCTATCGACTTATTCACCTACCCACCCAACAACCCACGCACCTACAAAGCTGCAGACAAGTCCCATTCCTATTAGCCATCCAGCCACCCACATAACTACAGACTTCTATACCATAAAAACAACCGTCATTCGCTAAGTGGCTATGACGTCACCACGGTGCTTGTCCAGGGTAAGCGCACTTTTAGGCCACGTGAAGTGTCGAACGCCGGCAGGAGGCCACGGGAGAGACCCAGGTGCGATGGGTTGACTGGCTGAGATGAATGGCAGACGCACCACCTGTGCCCCCTACTGTGCCAACCATAACATACCTGCCAAAACGGCTCATGGGAGGTAATGGTGGTGGGGGGGGCGGTGGATGACGTACTTTTGACCTGCTGCTCGGCCCCACGAGTGTGACTGGTCATGCCGGGCATGCTGACGTTGTTGCGGTGAATGTACTTGAGGAACACCTCCGCGTTTCTGCGAGCCAGCGTGCAGGCCTGCGCCAGGCGCGGTCAGAGTTGGAGGTGAGAGAGGGCAGGGTTTGTGAAACACAGCGGGGTTAGGTTGTGGATTGGCACAAACACAACGATCGCTCGGGATGACAACGGCACATAGAGCCAGATGCAGGACAATCACCTTGGAAGGTTTAGTCTGACTTGTCAGCACGTAAACTTGCTCAGTTTCACTTACAACTGACAGTGCGGATTTGTATGGACGAGAAATGTAACTTTGATTGCTCACATGACAACACAGTGCCATGGTTAACAATGGGCATGCAACAATGCATCGATTAATCAATTAAAATCGATTATTACACTCTTGATACGTGCATCAAGTCGTGTAAAAATCAATAATACATTACTCTCGCGGAATTATACGCAAACTGCACGTTTATTATGTAACCTGAAGGCTCATGGGGCAATTGTGTACCCAGAAAAGGCATAAACAAGACAAATGAGACGTACCCGGTGAGGCGAAAAATACTCGGCTGCTTAATTGAACCATGACCCAGAATCATGACAATACAATTAATTGAATTTGCTTTTTGTACGATCTGGGCCACGTGATTGGAATTTAAATTCCCCGAAACCGCACAACCCAAGTGAACTCGTGCTTGGCTCTTAGAGGGCACTTCGTTAAATACCAATAACAGCCGAAATTTAATAATGCTAAACATCTTCTGCACGCACAAGTCTGTTTATAATTACATAAGCCTGCTTCTAATAGTGAAACACCATGCAAATGAGCTTATGATCATCATAATGTGTCCAGCTGCTTAACACAAAGAAGGACTCATGAGGATAAACACTTGAACAAGGACTCATTCAAAACGGTAGCTTAGATTTATGAATGCATCTACACCGAGGGATGCTGCTGTGGTGTAACAGCTAGCACACTAGACTTGCAATCCAAAGGTGCCAGTCTCCTGGCATGGCAGTTAAAAATCTTCCCGGCTCGGTCCACGCAGGAATATAAATTGGTTTCACCACAGTTCGTCAATCTGCAGGTGAATTGTGGGTACTCCCACGTCCTTGACCCAGGAGGGGTCAGGAGGCAGCACCTTGAGGAAGGCCTCCTTCTGCTCGAGGTGTTTGTTGATCATGGGCGTGACGTGGTCGCTGTCCGAGCCGGGGCCCAGCTTGTCCCCGCCACCGCACCAGTCCTCCTCGCGCTTGTACTCCTGCTCCAGGGACTCGAGCACCGAGCACACCTGCGGGGTGGCACGCGCAGCGTGAAGGGCGACGCGGGAGGACACCGGGCGAGCTCTGGGTCGGAGAAACGACGAGATGACAGCGAGGCCAAAGCCTCGTGCCCTGCTTCTTGCTCATTTACAAAGCTAGTTTAGATTATGCTGCCAATCTGATTTCGTGTTCCCCGTACTCATGTACGCACTTCAGTAGACGATGCAAAATGCATTCATCTTGAGGTCAATTCAACTTTGTGGTGGGTCAGAAAAAAGTTCAAGTGTGAGTTGCTGTTAATGTCAAGAATTGAACGCATTGTGTCATCAGGGTGGCATTGCAGTTTCTTTCCCCAATAGAGGTTCAGATCATTCGAGAAAGTTCCATTAATGAGCAACTATTAAGACCGGCACAGCACAAAAAAAACTGGTAATGCCGTGCTACGCCCAACCACCTTTATCTCTCTAGTGCTGACGTTTGCACACTTTACCAGGCACCGCCGAGCTGACCTAAATGAGAACAAGGACAGAATCCGACGCCACTCGCCACCAACTGCTGCCTGCGGCCAGGAATCGACCTCGCGTTTCCAGGCGAGCGCGAAACGCGAGCAAACGCACGCACGAGCAACACGCACGTGCACTCGCCTGCTCGGACGTCTTGTAAAAAGCGACAGAGGCGTTGACGAGCTTCAGGCGGTCCTCCATCTTGAGCATGAGCTGCTGCCAGTGCGCGGCGACGCGCTCTGCGCACTCGCGGATCGTGTCGGGCGCGTAGTGCACGCTGCCCAGCAGCGACTCGGCCTTCTGCTGCACCTGCAGGGCGCTCTGGTGCGTTTTCTGCCGGCGAGAGAGAGCACGTGGCCAGGCGGGTAAGGGCTCGAGCGGAGAGACGGCGACGCGCGATTACCCTTCTTCCTCCCACCCCCCCCCCCTCCCCCCCTTTCCGAGTGCTTGTTGTGAGCCAGTGGTTGTCATGGCATCAAATATGCCTAATTTGCACGAAGATATGTTATACCTAAGTGGGCTCTTTTCACCTTTGTTGTTATATAAACGGCTGATTAACATGCTGAGGCTTTGTGCGAATCGCTCAATTAGAAAACCTAGTTTATTGTTATTATACAAACTTAGTGTTTTATACAAAGGAAGTGTGGTTTTCAAATGTGTGGTTATTACATCAGCTGCTGCCAAATTTGACACAACGCAATTGTACTGAATTAGCGCGGTTGGCTACGCATGGCGCGAAAGAAGTTCAACATACATATGTACAAAGCGATGTTTTTAAATAATACCCACCCCTCCTGCAAAAATTAAATACGTCCCCACCCCACACATTCAGACACCATAAACCATACACATTGCAGAGAGACAAATACCTGCAGACTGATGCACACAAACACGTAAACACACACACAGACTAAACACAGATATGCACAACCTCGACTTACATATGGCACCCCACTCAGCCGCTTTTGTCTTGCCAGTGCAATTGTTTACACACTGAGGCCGTGAGCTGGAATCAAAATCGGGTCGCCGGGTTCGTAGCGCAGCGTAGCGCTAACCACTCCCCACACACACAACAAGAGCCGCCATTTCCACTTCGTCGCGGTGACGTCACCACAGCACTTGTACCAGTCCAGGTGCACTTTTGAGTGCGCCCACAAAGATAAAGATCCCCCGTATAGCCTTAACAGACTGTGGGGCAAGTGCTGTTAGCGAGCACCTATGAGGGCCGGAACGGCACACGAAGAGGTTGGTGGCCAGCGCCACGCCCGACCGCCTTTGTCTCCCCAGTGGCGATGTTTACACACCGCACCAGGTACTCATTTAAGGCTGAGTCGACCTAGGGGAGGCCCAGGACCGGTTCAGATAATCGTCACTGGTGTTGGCCGCGAGCGGGAATCGAACCCGGGTCGCCAGGTTCATAGCGCAGCGCACTAACCGCTACACTACCGCTCCCCACTGAGTGCGCCCACACACACAGGCACAGACGCACGTACGTACCTCGATAGCGTGCTGGAACTGCTCGTGCTCTCGCTGAAGCTGCTCGGCCTCCGACAGGGAGCAGGCATTGATGAGGCTGGCGCTCAGCATGGACTCCCCATTACGAATCCAGCCCAGCACCTAACAATACAAATATAAACGTGCACCACGCCCGGTCACACACACACACACACTATCAGAACAATTACTGTCAACTAGTACCTACTAAAGGTTGGAAAAGCACACTGTCGCTGGCGCAAAACACAAACTATGATTGCGGATTAAAACTGTCGAAGAAAAAGTGAATTTATCAATGGACTCCACTAAAGAGGCACATTAAGGCTTCTGGTTGCATGCAAAGTGCTCTGCAGATCGTATGTGGCGATTACGACGACGGCCCTACAGAAAGACGTCAACAACGACGATGTCCTTTCGCGCCACGTGGGAAGACAAGGACAGGCCAAGGACACGATGATCGACGCAGGTGCGTGTAGCGTGGTTGCAAGCGTGCCGATGCAGCGACGTGCGTGCAGGCCGACGCGGGCACACGCAGGCCTCGGCGCAGTACCTGCTTCACTTCCGTCTGCAGGTGGCGCAGCTGCAGGCACTGCTCCAGGCGCTTGCGATGCTGCTCGGCATTCAGCTCCAGCTCCTGCTGCTTGTCGTGGAGGAACTCCAGCAGCTCTTGAACGCGTGTGCCCATGTCCACGTCCTTGTCGCAAGTCACCTCTATGCCTGCACGTGTGGGGGGGGGAGGGGGGGGGGACGGGGCACGCGAGTCGGGCGAACGGTCAGCCGATGACGATGATGACGTTGGTGATGCCGCCGATCGCGACCATGATAAGCGACTACGGTGGTGAACACGTTATCACGTGGGGGGAACTTCAGTCCGCGACATTCACAGGCGAAGCGTCCCAAGCCAAGGCCACCTTCGCGGGGTGGATTTTGAAATGACACCGAGCGCCGCGGGGTAAAACGACCTCCAGCTCCACGATATCGCCACGTGTGAACGCCGCCCGGTGGACGTCAACGTGCGGCCGTGCGACGGGCGGCGCTCACCCGTGGCCTGCACGTCGGTGACAAACTGGTAGAGCTCCTGGCCCTGGCGGATGACGTCGAACACCAGGTTGTTCATGGTCAGGGACTTGTCCGCGTGGCGCTGCAGCCGCTGCTCGGCGAGTGTCAGGTCGTCCGAATCGAACTCGCTGAGCTGCCTCACCAGCTCGTCGTTCCACGCCTCCAGGTCCGACAGCACCTGGTCGCCGCGCACGCAGACACCAACCCGTCCCACTCGGTGTGGAGGAAAGAATTCGATCGCCCCCGGGCACTGACAAATACCGAGTAGCGAAGTGCCGATGACACCCTGCATTAGAATCTGGAAATTTAAGATTTTTCTTGCTTTTATTATTTTGCCAAATTAGACAATAACTGTGTTAGGAGATTGAGGTTTTATATTCTGAACACTCGCAGAGCAGTGTGTTAGAAAACGGCTAGTGGGAAGGAAGCAGCTTTCACAGAGCTACTTCCAGGACACCTACAAGCAACTTTTTTAATTCACACACTAGGGGGCGTGCACGTTCCCGCACGCCCCACTAAACAGATATATTGATAACATGACAGTCAATAAAATATAAATTATCAGCGCTAGAATTCAGCCAAATGAAGTTAAAACAAGTAAAAAGAGGGGATTTTATTGTGCATCATTGGTGGCCGTCCATCTACTTACTCTAAATCCCCGCACCTCCGATTAGCACGGATGGCTACGTATGGTGTGAGAGACGTTTGACATACATACATACATACGACAATACCTTGCGAATCTCGTCAAGGAGCAGAAATCATCACGCAATCTCTGGTCATCCTCGCAGCGGCTTTTGGCCAACCATCGAACAAAGACGGTCAATGCATCGCGCGCTTTCAGATGCGCTTCTGCGGCCATCTGGAACGCTCTTCCTTCTGATTTTAGGAAGCCACCGGAGCTATGCACTTTTAAATCATCTAGATTGAAAACTCGTTTACTTACAACTGCTTTTCATGGTTAGTTTGTTGTCCTTCCCTCACACCTCCGATTAGCGTGGTTGGCTACGTACGGTGTGAAAGAATATTCTTGGTTCTTTCGGTAAAGTCACGTAGAAGGGAAACAATAAAATAATAAAAATATAAAACAATAAAATTATCACAAATTTTATTGTTTTATATTTTTAAAACAATAAAATTCTCACAAATTTTATTGTTTTGTATTTTTATTATTTTATTGTTTCCCTTCTACGTGACTTTACCGAAAGAACCAAGAATAGGTGTGAAAGAAGTCCAACATACATACACACACATATGTAAAACTCGGTTTAATCAGGGGTAGCTGCCCACATTCGAACCCAGGTCTCGTCGGTGCCGGCTCAGTGCTCCCACCAATCCCTGAACCGCGCGCACTCGCGGTCCACATCCACGTCACAACATTTCAGGATTAAGCTCTTTCGGGCAGCCGACCTCAACGGCGTCGCGCTCGAACATTCGCAGCTGCAGGAAGAGGTCGAGCTTGATCTTGCGCTCCTGGAAGATCTCCTCCATCTGCGCCTGCGCCTCGTCCAGCTGGTGCAGCACCCCCTCAACGTGCGCTATCGAGCTGTTCCCGCTGACCATGCACTCCCTGGGGGGGGGCGAGGCATGGTGGCGGCAAGGGGCAGGCACACACACGAGGGGTTCCGCTCGATGAGCACCCCGATTTACGACAACGGGAGGAGGAACTTGCCAGAGTGAAGTGGGTGCGATTCGAGCGACCGAGGTCATGGTCGATTCTGGCCAAAGGAGGCCTCCATCCTGCTGAGACTCATGAGAAAATGCCTGCATCATCATCATCAGCATCAGCCGTAATTAACCCACTGCTAGATGAAAGCGATGTTTTGTTTTTTAAAGCAATACCACAATTCGCCACTAATTGACGGTGATGTCACCACGACAACCGTGCCAGGCGAGATTCACTGAGGCCACGTGAAGTGTCGAAGGCTCGCTGACAGGAGGTCACGGGACAGACCCACGTGCCTTGGTTTGACGGACTGAGATGACTGGCAGATGCACCACCTAGCACCTGCAACCACGAGCCGATTTCGATGAACGCTTGCTCGCTCGTCCCAACCTGAGCTGCTGGATGAGGTCCTCCCCCTCCTTGATGACATTGACGGTCGCCTGCAGCATGGTCTGCTGCTGCTGCTGGAAGCGCGAGATGAGCTCCTGCACGGCCACCACGGACTCGGCGTACACATCGTCCAGCAGCTCCTTCTGCAGCTCCTCCAGCCAGGACCACAGCTGCATAGGAGGTGGGGGAGGAGACAAATAGACGTCATCATCATCGTCGTCATCATCATCACTCTTTACAGCATCAAAATCACGACGAGATTCATCGTCTTCATCAAAGATTATCAGCACAATCATCAATCATTATCACTCGCAATCATTATCGCCCACCTTTATCATGACCATCCTCATCATGATCGTTATTCAAACTTAGTTACTCATCATCAGCGATCATTGGGCATTCACTGAAGTATTGTATTTGTTTAGAACATGACTTAGTGCATGTACCAGTGTAAGCAGGTGGTGTGAGTGTGTATCTGTGGCACGTGTCCTGTGTGTGTGTGTGTGTCACGAGTGAGTATTGGTAGTACTTGGGAGGAATTATTACCTGTTATAGTTTAGAGTGTGAGCGCATGTTCGTAAATTGGTGTTTGTGTGCTGGTGTGTTGTGTGTTGGTGTGTGTGTGAATGTTCGATATGTGTATGTTAATGTGTACAGAGCAGTATGTGTGAGCTCGCGTGCGGTTCAAGCGCAAGCGACAACAAGTGTCCGGAGTGAGTGCGTGCATGAGTCAGCACGCTGTACAGAGTGCATCTAGGCTGTGGTGACGTCACCACCACTCAGTGGCGAGTTCCGGCGGTTGTTGTTGTGTGGTGCCAACGAGGCGTCTTACGGGCGGTGCGTGCGGAGCGGCTATGCGTGCGTGCGAGGCCGCACCTCCTTGGTGTGCGTGTGGAAGGACACCGACATGTCGAGCAGCAGCTTGCGCTGCTCCACGCGCCGCACAAAGTCCTGGATGCGGTCCTCCAGCGCATGGGCGGCTTGGAAGATCTCCTCGGGGTCACACTCGCCCGTCTGCGCCAGCTGCTCCGCCGCTTCCAGCAGCTTGTCCGCGTTTGTGTACGTGTTCTGCGGGCGACACGCGGGACACGCCACTGCTGCTCCGCTATGCGCACCACACGCGCTTCATTCTGGACCCGCCCTGGACGAGTGTTTGCCTATCGCCGCGGTGTCCTACAGATACGGCCGCATGTTGACACCACGAATACCCAAATTGCATTCTACTGCTCCCCAGCACACTTCCACTCTTGCCCACATCACACCACAAAAGCGTGACGTCTTACAGTCGTACTTCCTTCAACTTGCCATCACTGTCCTTTAAAAAAAAAAAACACACACGCATTTTTTATATCAGTAAATAAAAAAAACAAGCTCCAGTGTCAGACGTTGCTTGCTCCTGCCGAGCACCGCTGCGCGAAATTGTTTTTGCCGTCCCTTTTACCGCTCCGATTTTCAACACAACACTATTCGGCGTGTGCCCCTCTCTCCAACCCGGCACAGCACCGCACTCGACGCTGCGCGAGCCAACGCGACTTCTGCATTTTTTTACTGCTGCGCGAGTGACACCAGCGATCAGCGGGGCGGCGCGAGACAGGACAGAGGCGCTGAAACCGCGAACGCCTGCTCTTATGTCACCGGCCGAAAGCGCAGCCCAGCAAGGAAGCACCTGCGACCGCTGCAATGGGATCATGCTTCCTCGTGTTGCCACGCATAGCACACGCGCACGCCATCACAAAGGCTCACGATTAATTTATCATCCCTATTGTGTTAAACATCATGTGTGCTGCGGTGGCGAGATGTTAACTATCTCGCCTGGTAGACAGGAGGTCGTGGGTTCGATCCAAACCCTGATGCCTGTATATTTGGAGTTTGCATGTCTCTCTCGCTCTCCCCGTGGTCGCGTAGATTTTTCTCCGGGTCCTCCAGTTTTTCCCTCCACATTTAGAATCAACGTGCGTTTACAGTATTTGTCTGTTATAAATTTCGACTTGATAAGCCAATTCGTTGAGCTATCATTTGTGATAGCCAGGTCGCTTCTGAAAAATAGCTACATAGCTCAGTGGGCCTTAACTGGTAAAATAAAATAAAACAATATTTTAACAATCATGATCATCATCAGCAGCAGCAGTAATTCTGAATTGCAACTGATATGACACAACTCCCTCACGCCGACATACATGTAACCTGCACCGCCTCCCGTAGGGATGCACACCTCCAATCTGTGCAAGCGCCCCCTACCTGTGCCACCTCCTCAAAGTCCTCGTGGCGTTTCTGGAGGGCGCGTGCGCGGTGCAGCGACTTGCCGATGCCTGTGTGTTTGCTGAGGAAGGCCTCCCCGTGATTCTCAATCCAGTCCAAAACCTGCGCCGTTGCGGCACGCAACATGTGTACACACAGACACACGCGGACACACAAATGTAGACACACGTATACATGCGCAGGAGACATCACAATTGTTAGCCATCTCGGTTAAACTCCAAAGTTTGCATGCTGTTTGTCGAGCACAACTTTTGTTAGTCAGAGATTCAGAGCCACTCCCGGCTGTCTTGTCAGGCTGCTGATGTAAGGGAACCCAATGCAGTTGCCAAACTATGCAGTTCTTCAGGAGCTGGTGGTTTTGCATAATGCCTAGGCTGAGAACTTTCTGTACACTGTGCAGTTTTTTACGTGTTGTTGAAATATGTGTAAGGACTCATGCCAGCTACAAACAAGTGGACTGAGAGTTCTGGGGATGAGCATTAGGATTTGGGAACTATGATGAGCAGGACAGCTGTGTTAATCTACACCACGTTGTCATTCGTAAGGCTGGTAAAGGGCGATTGGTTACAGTTTTTTTTTTATTTTGCCTCAGGATGTTTTGGGAAAATGAATCAATGAAGGAAGCAACTTGGCCAGGAAGTGATGCAGTGAGGACAGATGCCCTGATAAAAGTTATGCGGCTGCATGCATTCCTAAAACTAGAGCGATTCGAAACGGCGTCTTAGGTAATTTCCACCAAATTTGCATTCTCATCTGTGTCGTTGGCTGCGCAATCAGTTAGCATCAAATATTGGCGAGCTTGGGCATTGCTCATCGCACACATCCCCTCTCTGCGCCGAGCTGCACTTAATTTCTTTAGAACTGCTTTTTTTGTGTTTAATTTGTTGTCCTTCCCCCGCACCTGATTAGCATGGTTGGCTATGTACGGCAGACATGTGCTCTTGTAAAGCGATCACAATGTGGTGCCCACAAAGAGGAAAATAATAAAATCAAAGCATTGTGTGTGCACCAACCTAGTATTTGAAAATGTGTTCAAGAAAAACACATTAAATGTACTTAGTATCCAGTACTGTCAATTCCATCACCATGGAAACACAGACACAAACTTTAAATAATGGCTCTGACATCCCATGAGTAGGAACTTTATCATTCACGTCTCATGCCTACTTCAATTTAACTGCACATATGGACTTCATTCATCCCTGGTTACCAAGTGTCTACATTCCACACTGTTATTCACATAGAGTGAACGCTCGCATTCACGGTAAATATATAGGCATGATGTTTTATGGCCACAGTGTTGTTGATAAGTGATAACAGCCCAGGACGTGTGTGTATGTGTGCGAGCGTCGTATCAGAAGAATCAGGACAGATAAACTGTCGACGACCGTGCATGGAGGAACTGGCACCGCCATGGCAACCTGACCTCTGACCTCCGTGAACATCTATCGTGAACCCGTGCTTCGGAAGCCTTGTAAACATAATGTCATTATCCACCGAGACCTAAAGACCCCCACAACCCCTTCCATAATTTATGGGAGCGGTGACAAGCTCTCAAAATAAACCACATTTCTCCTGTGGTTTACTTGGATAAAAACAAAAGTTTAACTCCAGTTGTAAAATTACGAAAATAACGTTTAAAAAACGACTCTCTCATTTACTAAATATCATTCCCAGGCACGCTCGGCATTTTAATGCCCATCTGAGCATGATGAAGTGAATGCAGCCACAATCACTTAATCAAGTTAATAATTGATCAATTAAAAAACATACATTTTTAGTTTTTTGTAAGCTTACCGCTAAACCTCTATAGATATAACACTGCATTGCGAATGTTTATTACACCATCACCCCCGTAATGCTTGCTAGAGCTACATAAGTTGCAACACTGCACCACATTTGGAGACCAAACTATTTTATGCCTTGTTTGCTTGTTTTCAATCTTTCACCAAAACTTCATCGAAGACGAGTCCTGTGTCAAGGGACTCATTGTCTGGCTCTGTGGTCAAGATCGACTCGTGTGCCACGAGCCTAACGCAACGAGCGAATTACCACATTTGACGAAAATAATCTCTCTCTCTCTAAAAGCGTCAAGTGTTCTGGTCACACAGCAAAGTCAGCAACGTCACGAGTTGGCCGCAAGCTGTGACATCAAAGCATGGCACCAATTTGAAGTGGACGATCTTAAACAAGAGTGCAGGTTAAAGGTTGCCTTAAAATAATGAAATAAAAACACTGTTAATGCGAATTATATGGGTGTGTACGTGTATACATGTGCATTTTAATGGAAAAGTATCGTTGTTTTGTTCGTCTCGGATTTTGAATCTCGAATTATGGTTTATAGAAACGCAATCCTCGTTAAACCACCCTTCCCATTAATCAATTCACATCGCTGGATCCAAACAAATTGTAAAATCTTGGTGGGTGTGAAATATCGCTTAATTAGTCATATCAACACACAGCAGCTCATTCAGTGCAGACAAAAGGCTACAAAGAGAGGATGTAACAAGCCCTTAACAATTACAAGTGGGCCTAAGATGTTCAAATCAACCACAAAGGGCTCTACAAGTACATAGGAGGGCTCGTGAAAGCCACATTTACATCCACTTACCTGCTGCACATCTCCATGAGACATGCATCGGTGGACACACACACAGACTCGAACGATTGCTTACAAACGCAAACGTTTTTGGGAGCGCTTCTTAAGACAGCGTTTACTATTTTAAGTGATGCAGCCAGAACCAAGTCAGGCGTCACTTTGTAGGCCCAGTTTTATTGATTACTACCATACCAAGAACTCATGCAAGACCGAGTCGGCCTTGGAGAGGCTCTGGTTGGGTCTGGATAAAGTCCGCTGGGGTTGCACCAGCTCCAGCGCAACGAACGGGCGAACCGCAAAATCCATCGCTCACCGCGAGCGCGCGCACGTAGCACGCGAACAAGCACGCACCTGCTGCACGTCCTGCTGGAACACGCAGAGCTGCAGGCGCTGGTGCAGGCGGACCTTGCGGTGCTGGCAGATGGTCTCCAGCTGGCGCTGGTGATGCAGCACCTCGTGCACCAAGTCCAGCACCTGCCGCACGGCTTTCGAGTAGTTGGCCGTGGCCGTCAGCGAGTCGGCGCCGGGGCTCAGGGGCCTCTGCAGTTTGTCCAGAAGCGCCTTCCCGTCCGTGCTCAGCTAAGGGTTCATGAATGACGGGGGTGGTGCAACGCAGAGTTGTGCCCATTTGCTCCCGTGGACTTTTTGTGCGACGATTATTGCTCTCGAAATAGACGTTTTGAGACAATGGTGTAGGCCAATGAGTTTCAAAGACAATGCATATATTATCAGAAGATGTTTGTTTGCATGTTCACAAGTACTGAGTGTGGTTAATGCAGACTTCATTCCTTGCAAAAGGTTTCTACTTAGTGTTTGAACATCTTAACACCTATTTTATTGCCAGAAAGGGTAAAACCTATTCTTATTGTTTCACTAAAAGGAGCTTAGGATTATTATGGGAATGTTAAAGATGATAACTAAGTTTATTCAAAACGATGGGCACTTCAGTTTAGATTTCTAATTCACTCATAAATGTGACCTTTCATCAGGCACGCCAACTTATACTCACAAGAAACACATTTGCGAGCAGTCAGTCGGTCCAACATCCAAAAGCGGGACTCTTATGATTCTGTGTGGCATCTCCAGTTAAGTCAATAACTCGTATTATCCATCACCGTCACGTGTGGGAACATGTTCATGGGGGGGGGGGGCACCGTGGGGGACCTGCCTCGGCATAGGCGGTGGCGATCTGCTCGTAGAGGCCCTGGTGGTGATGGATCGCGTCCTCCAGGTCCGGCAGCTCCGTGGGCAGGTCCCCATCCCCACACGCTTTGTACCAGGCGTCCACGCTCGACAGGTACTACGCGCGTAAACAACAGCGGCGCGAACTCGAGTCGCGCGGGTCTAATTCGCGAGCCGAAGACCGCACAACCCGCCGCCAGCGAACCGCCAACACGACAAAGTAACCGCCGTTCGTCAGTCGACAGGGGCGACTTCAATACGACGCTCGTCGCAGGCTTACGTGCGCCTTGAGGCCACGTGGAGGTGCGCAAACGCTTGCTGACAGGCGACTAACGGATAAGATCCACGTGTTACAAGAGAACAAACTACGGTGGACTCTCGGATGCGTCACCCAAGCGAAGACAAAGATCCCACGTATAGCCTGAACAGACTGTAGGGGCAAGTGCTGTTAGAGAGCACCTATGAAGGCCGGAACGGCACACGAGGGGGTGGGTGGCCAGCACAACGCCCGACCGCCTTTGTACCCCGAGTGGCGATGTTTACAAACCGCACCAGGTACTCATTTGAGGCTGAGCCGACCTAGGGGAGGCCCAGGACCGGTTCAGACAATCGTCGCTGGCGTTGGCCGTGAGCGGGAATCAAACTCCGGTGGCCGGGTTCGTAGCGCAGCGTAGCGCTAACCGCTGCACCACCGCTCCCCATAGCGTGCACGCGCATCCACAGACGGCTCCCGCGGCTCACTCGCAATGGCAACACCGCACGTCGCCGCGAGCGAGACTCGCACGCACGCACGCACAACCGCGCGCCGCGGGCATGGCCCAGCGTGGCACCTGCTCGGCCTTGAGGTGGAAGAGCGCCGACATGGAGAGCAGGGTGCTGCGTTCATCGAGCGCCGCGGCGAAGCACTTCCACTCCTGGTCCAGGTGCGACGCGATCTGCTTGATCTGCTGCGCCGCGTAGTGGCCGGCCTCCGTGAGCCGCGACCCGACCGACATGATGCGGCTGATGTTGACGTAAACGTTCTGCTGCCCGCGCGCAGTCGGCACACGCCACAGCCCCATAACCCTGACCCTGATCGCCGCGAGCCCCGACCCCCGTTGACCGCAACAACGGCGGCCTTCGAAAATCTACGTGACCCGATAACACCGACCCCTAAAATCCCGCACGCTCTTTCACCCATTTATCCACAAGCTGAACCAAGGGATACGTTGTTACCCGTAGCTATGATTCCGATTGCACAGTTTGACCCAATAACCCCAAAAGTGAACACGCCAACACAATATCCATTAAACTGGCACATTCTAATCCAACCACCACTACCTGTAACCCGGCACACTGCAAAGCCAAATCATCACCATCAACATCAGCAGCATTAGCAACAGAAGCCGTTCCCGATCCATTTACGAGATAAAAGCCTCTCATTTTCGACACTTATTTGCTACTGGCGCTGCGCGTCTTGCATGAGCATGTCGCTCCAACCCACGCAGAAACTCAGTGTGTCCCCAGCTTTCCTTTTGTCATCCTTTCCCAGTTGAAACCCATCACAATAAACGACATTGATTTTCACATTTATTTTTGAAAGGGAGTTCATAATTGGCAACTGTAGAAAATACAACTTGAATGAGAAGATTTCAGAAAACTGCTTACATAGGCTTCTGTGAAACAGCCATGAAAAGGGGACTTTAAGAAAAATTTTAGCTGCCGAAGGCTCTCCCCATGCAGTGCGAGTTTTGACTGTGGCGATCCACTCGGAGGCTGCTGCACAAGAACGCCCCACCACACCCCCACTACAAACTGGCATTGGCACTTCACTGAGCCGTGCCCAGCAGTGATGGTCATAAATGAAGTGAAATTAATTGCTGTAGCAGCTGGACAGTGCCAGCTAGGGGCAGGTAATAGGAGCTCATTAAATAGCCAGCCGGGGTAAAACCCATGTGATATCCCGGTCTGGAGCCACCCCCTGCCAGGTCGTGTGCGTGTGTTGTCGGTCGGCATTAACGCAGTGACGCAGCAGAGGGATAATTCTCCGTAATGGACGTTGGTAAAGCAATACAAATTCACACAACTGGGGCAGTTGATTTTATGGAGTAAAGAAAGGGGCGATGGTAAGGGAACAAAAATTCCTCGAACCTGGAATGACCGAGACAGGTCCCGCTCCGTCGGTCGGTGTGTTTTGGGGAAACAGCGTTTTGTTCGCCGAGATGCAATGAAATGTCCAAAAAGCGTGTTTATTGCGGGTAATTATAAGCACCTGCTACTTGCGTGCATTTTATCGACTGACAACGATAGGTACACATTCGAAAAACAACGTTCCCTCAGCACCACCGTAGAGAAATTAATTCGCCAGATAATTATATGAATTTACATTTTTCTACTCGCGCGACGCCATTGCTGAGCGATTGGCGAGCACTGCGCGGCGTAGATGAGTTGTGCACGTGGCGTGCCCAAGATGGGGGGGGGGGGAGGGGAGAAAAACCCTACGCCCACGAGGGGCAGCTGACCATTGAGTTGCGAGCGAAGTGAGCGTGCTGGGCCTGCAGCTCGACAGCCTGCTGGTGGCTGGGCCCGATCTCCGTGTATCCTTCCAGGAACAGCGCCTTGTTGTGGCTGATCCACTCGAACATCTGCGGCGCAAGCGCCCGCGTAGCAAAAGGAAAACGGTACACGCGCAGCATGGGTAAGGTCACACGCACGGTGCGCGTACACCCCGCAATAAACAGGAGACAGCGGCAAGGCAGTCACTAAGCACAGCTACTACATGCGCAGCACAAAGTAAATTCTTTCGATTTATTTCAAAGAAAAATATTGGGTTTTGAGTCCTTAGACTAAAATGATGCCCTTTCTTTATCCAGGTAAACTTCGTTGAGTATTACAACTTTTCAAGGTGGGTCCTACATTTAGATGTTTGGCTAAATCCACAAATGAGTGTTTGGCTTGTGGGAGGAAACCAGAGTGTCCAGAGAAATATTGCGCAGATATATTCATGAATCCATTGCTGTACTGCCATCTTCCAGCCAAATCCTCCCTCGTAGCCTCCCATCCAAGTACCAACCAGGCTCCAGCCTGCTTAGCTTCCAAAGAACTGACAAGATTGGGCGCATCTGAGCCAATTAGGGTAGCAGGTGAAATAAAACGAACCAAGTGCAAAATAACTTTATTTTACTTAATCACAAGCACAACACGGGCGTCTACCTACATTCTCGGGGCCTGTTCCTGTGCAGCTCTCGACGATACTTCTAAAACTTTTAAACTAAACTATTTTTTATCTTACCAGGTAAGGGCCACTGAGCGATGTAGCTCTTTTCAGAAGCGACCTGGCCACAAATGATAGCTCCACGAAGTGGCTTACAATGTGGAAATGTACAGCAGCCAAATACTTTAAACGCACGTTTCTAAATGTAGGAGGGAAAAACCGGAGAACCCAGAGAAAAATCAGCGCGCGCATGGGGAGAACATGCAGAGTCCAAATATACAGCAGCAGGCGTCAGGGTCGGAATAAAACCCACGACCTTCTTTCATTCCAGGCGAGGGAGTTAGCGTCTCCTAGCCACCGTGGCACTTCCCCTGGTGTGAACTTCATGCGGGGGACCCACCTTCTCAGCATCCTGCTCAAACAGACGCAGCTGGAAACACTGGTCGAGCTTGAGCTTGCGCCCGTGCCACATCTGGTGCAGGTGCTGCCGCGTCGAGTGCAGCTTGTCCAGTAACCCCGAGATGCGCGGCACGAGGCTCTGGAAGTCCGCGTTGCCTCCCGCCTCCCCGCTCACGCCGCCGCCTGCTCGCCGGCACGCCAAACGCGGGAGTCGCGATTCACAATTCCGATAAAAGCCAAGGATTGGGCTCTCCCAAAACGGGCCCGCAGGTTAGTGGCGCGGCGTGGCCGTTAGAGGGACGCGACGCTCGCCATGGGGCTCGCCGCGTCGCTCCAGGTGCTCGAATTTTCCCCGAGGTTCCCGGCGAAGTGGAGCGAAACGTCGGATGTCACACTGAGCAAACAGAAAACACATCGGAGAGCTGTGCAGCACAGCTGTGAAAACCCATGCAGTTTAGGGAAGAAACAACAAACATGAGGCATGGCCGATAGGCTGTCTACGTAAATAGGCTGCTATGTCCTAGGCTACTCAGCACTGAGGTTAAATGTCTGTAAGTGGGGAAAACATGATAATGTTACGGCCAAGTTTGCACCAATGCAGTGATGAGGATGTCACTCCTGCAACGTCTTAAAACAACACACATCAGTGACTTCATGTTTTTTTTTTTCAAGAACGAAGCTTCAAGCACAGAATGGACAGCCCCGGGGTGCTCGGCTGGCAACAAAATTCACAAAAATGCTCGGATGCGCGAAAAGTTACATTCCTATGAGTCACACAGCCCGGGTAAGTACGCATAAGCAGGGTGCATCTATATGCACGTGCACTTCTAAACGCTATAAAACCAAGCCGACAAAAACACGTGCACCACTAACATTTATAAATTAAATCTAAATTGCATATTGGAGGGCGAGTTTAAATATTACAACGGGTTTTGTAAGATGACCAAGTAGAGTCAACGGAAGGAGTGGGAGGCTAACCAAAAGTAACGGACAGGAGATGAGTGTCGAGCTTAAACAGGGCGAGGGGAAGATTCGGTGCGGAGTGCCGAGGGGTTCATGCCATCATTTACACGCTCATGTCTTCATGTCCGTCTGTTTACGGACTGAGCAGGGAATGTGCTGTTTGGCTGCAAGGCGGTACTTCATCGCGGAAGAGCAAATCGGCGGTTAGGGTTGAGCCGGTCTGCATGCCGTTGGCGGTTTGTATTCTCACAGATGTCAGGTAATGCTGCGCGGGGGATTTCTAAAGTGAGCTATCTGATCGACATTAAAGCTCCTGTCCTATAGTTTGCAAAGGAAAGCCTCAGTGCACTTGCATTCGGTACCAAAATCCAGCATTTGAGAGTTCCCGACAAATTTTAATTATTAAAGTTTGACAGCGATCGGTCTTTCCTTCGTCCGGCTCTTCCGACAAGGGAGGAATTAATATCGACTCGCTGTCACATTCATCCAAGGGAAGTAAATTTAACCAGACACAAATAGATGCACTAACATCTTAATTTACAAGCTGTCAACCGTGCATCGAACAGGCCGATGGCGTCACTTCATTAAAATAATGTCAGAATCGTAGAAAGGGGGAAGCATAAATTAAAAACCCGCGACACAAGCGATTATGGCCCTCACAAGTCAATATCGCTCGCACACTGCACACCCCCCGTTACGTAACACAATGCCAACGGAATTAACACTCCCGAAAGTAAGTGCCAACTTTCGCAATGTGAAGGCGAAATCACTCGCAAATCGCCCGTCAAACATTTTCAACCCCAACCATTTGGCACATCGACGAAGCCCAGATGCATTTTCTCTGCTCTCGTATTGAGAGTTTGGCCAGGGGTACGCAAGACCGGTTTGATGTGCGGAGGAGATAGCGGGGGGGCGTAACGAGTTGTCAAGCCCACGGGGGTCTGTAGTCACAGGGGTAACTCAGGGGGTAGTAGAGATGGGTGTGGGAGGGAGGCATCGGTGAGAAGCAGTACACGGCGGCTCATTCCCACCTGCGGTCCCGTGAATTGTCACGGATGTGTAGGTTGTCGATCAAGGGTTGCGAGATGTTAACCACCTCGCCTGGTATACAGGATGTCGTGGGTTCGACCTCGACCCTGACGCCTGTTGTGTATTTGGAGTATGTTCTCCCTGTGGTCGCGTGGATTTTTCCCCGGGTCCTCTCCACGTTCAGATTCAACGTGCGTTCATAGTATTTGGCTGCAATAATTTTCCACCTGATAAGCCACTTTATTGGGCTGTCATTGTGGCCAGGTCGCTGCTGAAAAATAACTATATAGCTCTGTGGCCCTTACCTGGTAAAATAAAACAGTTTCATTTATAATTTAGTTTAGATCCATTCAAGAGTCAATCCTTTCATCTATTATTTTTTTTCCTGCCTCAATTACATAGCTTCCCATTTGTGCAGTCTCGTTTGTAGTCTGATTCATTGAGCCTAAATGTAACATTTGCATGTAATTTGTACATAAAATGCACAAATTTGCATACATTGACGTTAATGTATTGTCACGTGCATCATGTATGCTTTGTGAACATCAGAATGCATTTGTTTTTATCGATGAAACATCACACACCTAGTTTGTAAAGGCGAGTATGGGTGTGCAGGAATATTTCATGGGTGTATTAAGATGGAAGGTGTGGATGATCATGTTAGGGTGCGGCCCGAGTTCGATTCCCACTCACGGCCACCACCACTGACAATCGTCTACAGGGAATCTTTGTCTTCGTACGATCATGTCAGGAGGTGTCGCGGTGTGTACTGGCGAGTGTGATCATGTTGGGATGTGTTCGTGTCTGCACCTCCGATTAGCACGGCTGGCTGCATACGGTGCGAAAGAAGCTCAACATACATGCATACATACACGTGTGATCACATCGGGACACCGCGAGCCGTAAAAAATGCAAGGATGTTGTTGTTGTTGTTGGTGGTGGCGCCACTTGCCGCCCGCGTTGCCGGCGCTGCCCTGGATGCGCTGCAGCAGCGCCTGCCCCTCCCGGTCGAGCTCCTCGATGGGCGCGCGCAGCACGCGGCGCTTCAGCTGCGCGTGCTCCTCGATGAGCCGCCGAGCCCCTTCCAGGTCCAGCGGGAAGTCTCGGCGCGACAGCAGCTCCTGTGGGCGCGCAGTGACCAACGCAAGTACCCGTCAACCACCAACAACACCGCCAACAGTGGCAAAGCAGATGCCATCGAGGCCATCGATGGCACCGACACGACCAGCACCACCGGCAACGTCACTACCAACCGTCAACACCGCCACCACCGACACCAGCAACACTGTCAACACTGCCAACGTCAAGATAGCTGACGACACTGCCAACCCAGGCGTGCACACCATCATCCACAACGAGATCGCTAACAACACCGCCAACACTCTCGTACACTATACCTATGCCAAGTTTGATAGCAACACTGAAAAACTAACAATTAACACCAATGCCACTAGCAAATAAAAAAACGCACATTGCCACATCACCATCAATACCAGAAGCACCAGCAACACGACTAGTAACGTCGCCATTAATGCCATCACCAGCACTACTCACAGAAAATTGATTCGTCGCACCATTATCAACACCGTTACCACAAACAAAACGACAACCCTCATCTTATTTCTAGTTACCAATAAACTATCTGCAATACATGTTTACATACGGAAATCGCAATTTAAATTGCGTGTGAATTATAAGTATACGATAGTTTCTATTTTATATTTATAATCCGGTTTGATTTCTTTAGGCAACAACAACAACAACAAAAAATCAACTTAATCAATCACGAGTTTTGCAGATCTTAATTCGAGCCATGCTGGGAGGACCGACTGGGGCAAACGTAGCGGTTGCGGGGGGTCACAGGACCGACCGAATCGTGTCACGGCGAACGGCGTCGACGCATTACGGAGCCGCGTCTCGAACGACGAGGGGTGGGGGGGGGAGGGGGTTTGGGGGAGGGAGGTGACGTTAACGCGAGAGGACGGGAGCGGCGCTCCGCGCAACTGGCCATGCGCACGCGGCACCAGCGAGCATATTGCTTCGGGGGATGAGCTGCTGCCGCGCGGCGACATGCGAGCGCACGCCGCCAGCGGTGCAACGGTTAACACCAAACTGAAACATTTTACAAGGAATCATGTCTGCATTAACCACAATATTTCAGTTCAGTTTCATTTATTAGGTATAACCCTGTGAGCCATGCGGCTCTTGACTCGGGTGCAACCGCAACAAAACAAAAACATGAACAAGAAACATCTTAAATTGACTACATGCAACAGAAAAATCCTGGAAAAAACCAGCAAAATGGTCAGACTGCAAACAAAAAACATACTTTGAAACTGATTGGTCCACACCAGAGACAGCTTTCTTTTGAGGCTAGTCTCAAAACGGTGTTCGACCAGAGGACGCCAAAAGGCCTACAATTACATTTAAAAATATATATTTTCATAATAATTTTAAGTCAAAATTTTACGGTTAATGCGGCAACAAAAGGTGACAATTTGGGCGCGATGCCCGTCGACCAGAATTCGTCCGAGCTACAGATTTTAAACGTCTATGCACGTGTCCACAGTGAGTTTTTTTTTGCCTAGTGCGCGCGTCAATTGATATGTCGGACGCCCTTGCACGCGGGATGTTTTCCGTTCTCGAAAAGCGAATCCAGGTGAAGTAATTTGAGTACAAAAAAAACATATGAACTACGTTAAAAAAAAACGGTGGCTCATTTCCCTTTGCGTGCTGCACGTGAGATGACTTTGTGAGATTGTTTTCAGACACCGTGCTATCACTCCGATGCAATTAATGAACGACGCAAGAAAACGTCTCTCCGGCGTGACTGCGCGTGACATTTCGCGAAAACAACCTGAAAACACAACAGCGTGCGTGGCTGCATGCAACGCACGCACATAGCGTGCAACACGCACAATTATAGCATCAACCGAGCAAGACGTTACGGTCCGCTGGTCAAATGCTGCTGGTCGGAAGCATTCCCACCAGCTTTGGAATGGATTACCACTGCACATGAATGTAGCAGCAGAGGCCAATGTTTGAAGATAAACATGATTCATTTGAGATTCTTCATCATCATTATCAGCTATGATCTATCCACTGCTGGATGAAGGCTTCCCCCCACGTCATTGCCATCTCTCCCGGTGCCAGATTGGGTATTCTAGTGAGATGGGAATAAATGTGTCACAGAAAGGATAATTGATATTATGAGTGAAACATTTCAATTACAACATTAGTGATTGGATTAGATGTTGATAAATGGTGATGATAATTATGATGAGCACACAAACGTGCATATAAAAAGAATGATAACAATAAAAATAACCACGACCATAAAAACAATGATGTTGCCGTGCACTCGCAACCATCAAGCAGGTCTACTCGAACGACACTGAGACACACGTGGCCGCAGCGAAACGCAGACTGCGGAGGAGCGTCTATCGATCGGTCGGCTCCACGAGGAGCCGCGCACCGTGGGAGAAACCACGCCAAGGCTATAGAACGGGCCGCATCATCATCATCACGTGACCGATACTGGATAATCATGTGACTGTGGTGGCAGGACAAGTGAAGAAGCAGCATCCAATAACCACGCCTCCGCCATAGACAAAGATCCCCCGCATAGCCTGAAAGGACTGTTAGGGGCAAGTGCTCTTAGCGAACATCTATGAAGGCCGGCACGGCACACGAGGGGGTGGGTGGACAACACCAAGCCCGGCCGCCTTTGTCTCTCCAGTGGTGATGTTTACACACCACACCAGTTACTCCTTTGAGGCTGAGTCGACCTAGGAGAGGCCCATGAGCGGTTCATATAATCGTCACTGGTGTTGGTGGCCATGAGCGGGAATCGAATTCGGGTCGCCGGATTCGCAGTGCAGGGCACTGACCGCCACACCACCGCTGTACCATGCACCCTCTAACGACGGCACGAACCCCCGCTAGCCGTCCATCAGGCGTGCCCGCAACTCACCTGTAGCTCCTCCAGACGGGAGAGGAGGTGCGATGCGGCCGTCACAAACTCCTCGAGCGCCAGCCGCAGGGAGAGCCACTCCTCGTGCTCGTAGGGGAAGGAGCCATCCAGCTCGGCCGTCAGCTGGCTCGGGTCCACCAGGCGGCACAAGCCCTCGATCGACACCAGCGAGGTCTGGCGGGGAGGCAGCCACAATGCAACCCGACGATGAACATTTATCCCATAGGCAACTAACGAAAACACACAGGCTGACGTCAAATGATTCCGAACATTTTAACGTCAAATGATTCCGAATATTTTAACATCAATCACATATGCAAACATTAATAACGAACGCTAATTCTAACTGAAATACTACTTCAACCCAAACACTACGACTTATAGCTAACTTCAACCTCAAATGCTATGCCTATCGCGAACAAAAAACCCAACCGTTATACCTGAAGACTGAGCCGAAAAACGAATGCCTTTTCCAAGCTATAACCCTTAAACCCATCTTTTATTTCCTTGTGCTATAACCGTATAGACTAATACAAAACCCCGAACACTAACATTCTCTGTAGGATCCAATTCTCTAGACTCTTCTCCTTAGCCGTGCTAAGAGTTCCTTGTACAATGTCCGACCCACCTTGCTCTGTGCGGACCACGAGTCAGAATTCCTCACCTCGAACTCAAACTTTGAGGAACCAAAGTTGGTCTTCTGCTTCTGCCAGAAGTTGTCGGGTTTGATGATAAGCGCCACGTGGATGCTCGCCGGGAAAGACTCCTGGAGCGTCTTGAGCAGTGGCTTGATGGAGTCCCACTTGGAGCCACGCATGTCTATGACCACCGTGAAGCCCTTCTTGGCACTCTCCTCACTGCTGGAGCGCCACCACCGTGCGCACACAACTACGTCATCATCATGTCTATGACCACCGTGAAGCCCTTCTTGGCACTCTCCTCACTGCTGGAGCGCCACCACTGTGCGCACACAACTACGTCGCCGTCGTCGTCATCGACAACCACGGCAAAAAAATTGGGTGGCCGGGACCCATCGTCATAACGTGCCACACGAAGGAGGGAAAGACGAAATAGGACGCGACTCTGGAGACGTAGCAATGAAACCGGCACGCGTGCAGGCGCCGAGCGGATTGTCGCATCGCAAACTCGTGGGCGGGAGGTGACGACTTGGGGAGGCCTTCATCCAGCAGTGAACTGATCATGGCGAATGATGATGATGACGACATAATGTGGAAGGTGACCCCTTGTTGCTTGCCTCCCCTACAGCTTCACATACTCCACGAATCCCGGGAAGGCCGGAGCCAGACTACTGCTCAAGTGAGCTCAGATGTAGAGCGCTGGTTAGGGTTGTCTTGGATCTGTGGCACAGGGTTTTAGAGTCACTTTACTCATTGTGAACAGTCAGGACACCTTGCAGTTGTACCACTGCAGCCCCTTTCTAGTTTTGATGATACCACGCCATTGTTTGGCGAGATGGCGAATCCAGGATTCAAGCTCAGATGTCACTCACTGACCTCACCCATTCCTGATCTCAGCACTGTACCGGACTACAATTTTGATTCATCCCCGGTTAAAATTACGGGAAATGCCATTATCTCAAAATCTGTTAATCAAGATTGCTTTTTGTAGAGTGCTATACTGTACTGAGATTTTTTTTTACATTTTTCACAACCATTGATTTTTCCAATGACATCTCCATTTTCTCCAAGTGCTCTGAAAAACCAAATGGCTCATATAAAGCCTCACAAACACGTACCTCTTATACTCATCCGCCGAGGCTAACACAACATCTGGTGGTGATACGCTTGCATGCGATAACAGTGAAATAACAACACAAAATCGAGCACTCAGGTCAACACCCCAAGAGATTTAAACGTGCTGTTTAAAGTGCTTCGAGCAAATAGTATGCAAGAGACAATTCTAAGGCCCTTTATAATCTCCAACCGCTAACCTTCGAATAGTTACCCCCGACTCCCACCCAGACGTTTAACCACTCCCAGTGACCTCCGTACAGCCACATCCCCTTGTGTCAGCATTGAATCTCGCAACTGTGTCAGGTGGCTGGCATCGCCAAAGCTAAGGACACTAAAACCAAAAACTGGAATGAATGGCGGCATTACGTAACTCAATTCAACCAAATTCGCAGCCATCCCCAAACACTGTTAACCGTTTTTTTCCCCTCTGACATAAGCATAACCATCCAAAAACGGATGTAAAGTATACGGCACGGGTTCACTTGCTGACCCATGACAACTGACCACCCATCATTCTGCAGATTCCCCTCTACAACCCAGCCTCCAACACCCAGGCCACGGCGTGCCTCCCACTGCCGCCTGCCACGCCGCTGTAAATCCCTGCAGCTATAAGCTTCCCATCACACTCATGCATATTTCAGAGCCAACCCATTACAGTTGGAAGCTGCGGTTCCGCATCCTGCGCGTCTAAATGCCCGCCTTATATCCGTCCGTCTAACCCACAAAGCACCTGGGTACAACATTAATAAATAAATAAACACCTCTCATTTGTATGAGCAAAAAAAGCACAACCAAGGTACTAGCAGCCTTATGCTTGTCAACATACGGCTAACTGAAAATGTATCTTGTGTATAATAGAATGCCCTCAATAAACATCAGATCGTACTTTTGCAAAATGGCACTTAATTACACCATTTATGAAGGCCTGCAATTAAGTAGACGTGATGTAATTTGTAATGCGCTTGTGTGCATCAGAGCATCATGTTTGTTTGTTATGTGCATATAAAAACTATCAAAATAACAGCAAGCAGTGAGGCGGGGGGAGGAAGCTGCCCACTAGGCATGCTGTGCTTGGGATCCTCTGCCCTTCGAGCAAGGGTAGCGGCAGTGCAGAGGAAGCCGCCCCTGTTAGCACTCACGTGGAAATGTGCGCAAAAAATGCAGCAGCAATGCACATGACTGCAAGTCTACAGCTAGCACGGCAGGTAGGAAGTGGGTCTTCAAATGTTAATTAATTGCAATAATAATAATAAATATGTATTGACCAGAAATAGGCTCGCTTTTACAGGAGCATTCTGCTTCGGAGTGCTTTTCCAATTCCTTTCACATATTGGGAGGAAAATGGAGTACCAAGAGAAACCCGTGTATTTGAGAAGGTAACACTCAAACCCCTGTGGCTACGTGAAACCCCATGTGCTGCTGCAACATCCCACAGCCATCGCTGCTCCCATCCTGGTGCTTTTATGGCATACATGGATATATTGCGACTAACCCACGTGGATCTCCGAGTGCACCACACCACGCCCGTGCCAGCACTCTCACCCCCTCCTCATGCTTGAGCAAGAGAGCCGGGCGAATCAAATACGATTCCTATGAAAGTTTGCGGAATCTCGCGGGCAGGACCAGACTGGCTGTGTTGCAGCCTGGTGTGGCATTCAGCCAAGAAGGGGAAGGGGGCTCACCCCACCCCAGTGCAGTCTGACCGACCTCGGAGGAATTACCATTACAATGCCTTTGTAAAAAGTTTCAATGGAGATACTGGTCGGCTGATATCGACCCTGACTCCAGCTGCCCAGCATCACCACGGAATTGTCATTGAAATGTATTACACGGTCATTACCGCCGCGATGTACGGTCGATGCTGCACGAGCAGAATTGGCGGAATTCTACCCCAATTCCTGCATGGCGTTCAGGCGAGACGGGAGGGCCCTTGGGGCCTGGGCGGCCTAGCCTCGTGGAGGCCGCATCAATGTACAGAAGGGTTGAATGGAACCGCTAAGCCCAGGCAGTACAAAGAAGAAGTGTTTCGTCTAGCATATACACGAAGCAGCTATGTGTACATGTAGCCAAGTCTATGCACATAGCTGCTTCGTGTACATTGGCTGTGCATGGGCTAGCTCCCACGAGGCTGCCCAGGCTCCACAGGCACAGGCCGTCCTTACTTGCCTGATTTTCATACTGAAAATCTGGGTAGAAGAGGACAAATGCAGCACTTTAGGCATCGGAAATATAATTCAATGGCAATTGTGACCACCTGGACTCAGCCAGAATCACTGTTATGGTTGGTTGGAAATGGTCAACTATGTGAAGCGTATCTGAAGCTAAACCAACCGAGAATTACAATAAAATTGGACCAGAATGAAATGAAATTTGTATGACTCTTCCATGGTATAATCACTCTTGGAATACCATTCATATGAATGTAGAATTTTAACATGGGAATCTCCCATTAAAGACCAGCGATACCTGCAGAAATCACGTGCGTGCGTGCTTCAGAGTGCATATGCGGCTGAAACATGAAAGACTAGCCAATGGAGCACGTGTGTGAACGAACATCTAAAAAGTGAAACAGCATGACCGTACTAGCACGTGAACGTGCGAAATCGTGCGCAAGTGTGCTTTTGTATTCTATTTTATTAACAGCGCTGCTCAGCGCAGAGACGGAAATGCTCAACACGTCAAGCGGCCAGCAACAAATAGCACTGTCAAGTTTTAATTGATAAGCGTGTGTCACACGTTTCTTGAACTGTGAAAGGTTATTGTTGTTCCTAGAGCATTGAAAATTAGACTAAGGCAGGGAATTCTCAAGTGGAGCAGTGCACGGCAAGAAGCAGAGAGATACGTGTTGTATGTATGAATGTTGAATCATGCTAATCGGAGGTCCAAAGTGTTATGACCTGCAGTGTGGTAGATGAACACTGTCTGGATAAGACGAAAACAGTCAGTGTCCAGGAGGCCAAATCTTCAACAAGGTTGGAGGACACGTAGAAACAATAAAATAATAAAAACATAAAACAATAAAATTCTCACGACGTTTCAACTGCAACACAAGCAATCGTCATCAGGTGATGAAGTGGTTTTCACACCTGATGATGATTGCTTGTGTTGCAATCGAAACGTCGTGAGAATTGTATTGCTTTATGTTTTAATTATTTTATTGTTTCCCTTCTACGTGACTTTACCGAAAGAACCAAGAATATGAATCCCTGCAGTCACGAAAGCTTTAAATCAAAATTTAAGGTTGGACGAATCAATGCATGAAGTTCACAGGAGCGGTAACCATGGTGTAAGCGATCCAAGAGTGATAAGGGGGCGACTGACCGCCGGTGAGCGCGTGACTGGAGTGAATTCGCGAGTGCTGCATCTACAATCGGGGTGCGCGTCGCCCCCTCGTTTGAGTGTGCGTGCTCACCAGGGTACACTGGCCAGGTAGGTGATGAGTCTGCGCAGGTCCTCCTGCTTTATTCTGTCGTGGTTGCTGCGTGCGGGAAAGGTGAGGATGGGTCCGCCGCGCCTGTCACGCCCACCTGCTCGCCACGACCGACCAACGCACATGGGCGGCTCCAGCCTCATCGCCCGCAGCTCTGCGCCCCAACACAGATTTGCCTCTGGCAAAGGAATACCTGCTATCTCTAAAGAGAGAATGGCTGAGAAGTATCTTAATGCTAATCAATGTCATGAAGGTCAAATGTGTCCTTTCTAAAACAGCCAAGCTGTTGGTGAATGTTGAGTCTGCAGTGAATATTCTACATTGCTGTGGCAGGGACAAGTCTTTCCGTACAAGAACATTCTTGTGACTTGTTTCAACAACCACAGAGAGTTATACTGGTAGTAGGAAACGTAGTGGACTGGAAGCCCAACCGGGATTAATTCACAGGAGGCAGGGGATTAATTGTGTATGTCTGTGGATGTCTGTCCACGTGGGAGGGGTGGGGCTGGGTGGAGTGGGGAGGGTAGGGAGGGGCTGGGTAGGGAGGGGCTGGGTGGGGAGGGGAGGGTGGGGAGGGGCTGGGTGTGGAGGGTGGGGCTGGGTGGGGGGTGGGAGGGGTGGGGCTGGGTGGGGTGGGGCTGGGTGGGGAGGGGCTGGTCACCCCGTGGTGCCCTTATATGGACTGGAAGCCCAACCGGGATTCATTCACAAGAGGCAGGGGATAATTGTGTATGTCTGTGGATGTCTGTCCACGTGGGAGGGGTGGAGAGGGAAGGGTACGGAGGGGCTGGGTGGGTGGGTGGGGAAGGGCTGGGTGGGGAGGGGAGGGTGGGGTGGGGAGGGTGGGGCTGGAGGGTGGGAGGGGCTGGTCACCCCGTGGTGCCCTTATAAAACTCAACGTTTAACCTACTCACGCCGGCTTGTGCCCGCCCTCACAGTCGGGCATATTTGCGGAATACACCACACCGCCGTTGACCCTGGCCATTGACCGAGCAACCCAACGTTCCTACCAGCTCCCTCCGTAGGAATGTGTTTATTTGCCTGAGTAAACCACCAACGAGGATTTCAACTGGCAAAACTACAACGGTGAGTAAAGTGTCCTCCTGCAGCCAGTCCGTCATAAACTATGCAGGGTGGGTAAAATGTGTGCTATCTATCGAGGCTGTATAACTTAGTGTGAAGTGAGCAGTGGTTGTCTTACGCCTGCCTCTGCCACAGTAACGTGGAATACACGCTTCTGACCCGGCACGGCCAAAAGAAACGAGCACCACCGCATTAGGTTTATTTGTAATAATAAAAATTTGTTTTTGATGTTACGTCTTTTATGCTGGGGCGCCATTGATGTACCATTGCTTGTGGGAGTACAATGCTGTATTTAAAAGGGTGAGTATATGGCAATATTTCTTCAGCAAGATTCCCATAACACTGCACAACGGTGCCTTAGAGTAACATGTCGATTCGGGCCAAATACAAAATGTAATGATCTGTAGAATGCATCACATCAAAGACACATATGCCACAGCTCACTGGGAGCAGCAGCAGCACAAGCGTGAAATTCAACAAGCGAGCGCAGGAAGAACTTAGCCCGACCAGTAACGGCATCTCCAAGCGATTACTCTTAATTGCCGATTGATTAACAATTTGCACGCCGCCTTGGAAGCCGCTCTACGCCTGGCACAGTAGACGTCCGGCTGGCAATGCCAACCTTAGTCGCAGGAAGCAAAACGCGCAGTGCATCGTCCCGCACGCGCATTTCACAAGCTGAATCGGACCACCCGCATGCACGGATAAGTGCACCCAGTGATAGACGACCACTCCCCCTTAGCGGGCCTTCGAGTTTCTTTCTTAAACCGTACTTTATTAAGTCCCCTTCGCCACCGGCAACCCTAATAGCACTTTCGCAAACGAGGCTCGCTATCCAAGCCTCACTTTTTCACGCGTGGGGATGAAGGGGAATGGGAATAGGGTAGAGATACCAGCATATTTCCTTGCCTATGAAGTTTTTTTTCCCCCAACTAGAGCACAGTATATAGCAACAATGACACACTGCGCTACGTGGCGAAAACCAGCTACATCTGGTACACTCTTCTGACGGCAGAGTGAAACATGTGACGAGGGAAACATCGTTAAAGCATCCATTAAATGGCACAGTCTAGCATCCATTAAATGGCACAGTCTAGCCATCCCCATGCGATTTATGCCGTATCCGACATGGTGTTTTATGCGAGAACTGAGTGTGCTGAATTAATTGTACACACAAAGTTATTACGATGGGGCGTTTGTGCAGTCATTAGCGACTAAAGCGAAACCATAAAAACTCGCTTACTATACACGAGTTGGGGGAGAGGTGGCGCAGCCATTAGCACAATGAACTATGAACCCACCAACCCGAGTTCGATTCCCAGCCACGGGCAATGTAAGTGGCGAGTGATATCTCAACTGGTCCTGGACCCCCTCTTTACCATCGTACACTGACCAGCGTGGTGAAGTATGGTCAAATAACCCAAACGACTGACATAGCGTGGCAAGGCCTTCATCCGGCAGTGGAGTGACAAAAGGCTGTCCTGTTATTATATTAATTATACATTATTGTAGAGTAATTTGTATGTAATAACCAAAGGAATAAAGCCAGTACATTCTTACACAATGGTGACTCAATATGCCATAGGCGTACAGAGGCTCACCCTCTTGGAGGTTTGCGATGCGATTCTATTCTTGAACATTTTCTTTTAAATAATGATCTGACATACTGTTACATGCCTTACATGTCAGTTTCTGAGCCGTCAAAGCCTCTATTATAATTTCTACTACGCTTGTTTTCCCAGGAAAGTCTCACAGAGTGTGATTACTTTTTCAGGAGGCTCGCGCACAGCTTTTGCTATCTATACTCCAGTTGAGTAATTTTTCGGGTGCAATTTTTATAAATTTGTACCGTGACGCCGGCACACTGCGGCCTACTCTTGAGAAAGACATCACTAGATCTTTAACGTCCACTGCGAAGCAGATGATGCCTATTATTGCGGTTGATACACTCACAGTAATAATCAGCATAATGTATGAGAGAAGCGTTTTGGATGAAAAAATTTATGATTTTAAGGACAACTTTGGATTGTTTTTCAAATTCCTGAGTATTTCCATTACGTGCTCATGTTTATCATCTTCATATTGACAACAGTGAGGTCATCCAATGCCACGTGACAAATATGATGTCAGCCGGCACTATTGGAAAGTGACTTCACTTCCGGTTCTCAAATCAATCCGAAACCAACAAAAATATAGAATCATCCAAAATGTTGTATCTCGGCCCGATTTTCCAATTAAATTGGAAACCAGGAACACACCCCAACAGTATACCTATTTGTTCTCCGACACTTTGCAACCATATAAAACATTCAGAAAATCTAAATGTTTAAATGCCAATGTACACACCGGACACATATGCCACCTTCTCCTTGAGAATGGGCAGCAGATCAGCTGCCTTCAGTCCATCCGTCTTGCGATACCCTGAAATACAGCATACAAAGACATAGCCATACAGACTGTCAGGGAAATCACTGTTCATGAGCAACTACACAGTGGGGAGCGGTTACGCAGTTGGTAGCGCACTCTGCTACGAAACCCAGCAACCCAAGCTCCATTGCTGCTCACGATCGATAAACCGTGGTGAATATCCGAACCAGTCCTGGGCCTCCCCTAGGTTGACTCAGCATTAAGTGAGTGCCTGGTGTGTGATCTGTAAACATACGTAGTGGAAAGACAAAGGTGGCCAGATGTGGTGTTTGTCACACTGCCCACTCCTGTGCAGTGCCGGCCTTCACAGATCCTTGCTAACAGCACTTTCCACCACAGCCTGTAAGAGGCTATAGGGGGGATCTTTGTCTACCCACATAGCATAAACACACGTGGCTCAGGGTAAATGGCCACATCATGGCCACAAAAAACCGAATCCAAATAAGGGGTTGAAGAACGTGGAAATTGCTACCTGGTGACAGCAGCCTGATCTCTAGAGAGCAGGTAAAATGAGTTAATTGATCGAAAACTGATATTGGTGGGGTGATGTTTGGGGGCTGAAAGCACTTAGTGCTGTCACTGGCAGTTCCTACAGGGCATCATTTCTCAAACAAGGACCCTCATGGCCTTTGTTCCATATTTCCGTATTCTCTAACATTATTTATTCCAACAGAAATTAGGTCACTATTTGTGAACAAGAAAGCCGTAAATTGTGAAGAGCCCAAAATGCCTGCTGTAAGACATTGCATGGCATTTATCACCAATCCGAACGTTTAGACATCACACAAAATGTATTATGTTACAGCCGTTAGAAACCAACTTAACAGCTAACAAGGCAAACGAGTTCAAATCCACTCTAAACCAACCGTTGCATCTGGCAGACAATGGGGACTGGCAGTTCATAACAGTCCATGACTCAGTAGTCCATGACTCCTTCGTGGTTTATTAGCCAACGTATTCCATGAAAAACTCGTGTTACTCACTGCATTTCATTTTTAGTATTCTGTTAAAACATTCGTTACATATATATTTTTTAAAAAGGCCGTTACGAAAATACAAAAAAAACCTGCCAAGCGCTAGCCTTGCCCGGATGTCCCACGGCATATTTACTGCAGGCTCCAGACACCCACTTGGAGGTTTGCCCCCGCACGTGTGCGGACACTTTGCGCTCGCAAGGGTGCACGTGACCAGCGGGGCCAGCGCTACCGTTTGATCCAAACAAGCCGCCCTGCCGCGACCAGACGCATCGTTTCCCCTACTCTGATCTGGAGCACCGGCGGCCCTCCCCTTCTCCCTTTATCCCTCGCCTGCCCTCCGTCCTCACTTTCCTGCGACTGCGACCCTCCTCTCTCTCCGCAGACGCCGCAGGACAGCGCTGCTGCACCGTTGCCCCGCCCCCACCCCGAGCCCCGAGATGAAGGGGTTCTCGTTCGCGCCTGGCCGCACGCCCTCTGCCCTGCAGGCTAGTAGTCACGAGCCGCGATGCAGAGGCTTCTTGCCTTTGTCTGCGGTAATCTGACCGGTTTACCGCGTGTTATTCAGTGTATTGTCCAAAGTTTCGCTCCATGCGCTGGGAGCTTCTCCAGGACCTGAGGACACCGAGTTTGTGACAGGCTGCTTTCGCTCTCTCTCTCTCTCTACCAAGGCTGCAAAACGGCTACCGGCGCAGCCCGGCGTAATGTGGTCTCGTAATGCTGTGGGTGCCACTCAGCAGCAACACCCGTCAGCTCAGGTGTTTTACAGATTGCCCTACACGGCAAAGTGAATTATGTGCGGTGTGTAGTGGCACTCGCATTGACTCCGCTGGTTAACCCCAACATGTGTGCATTGTTACTCGCATTAAATCCGATACTGAAATGACCATGGACTGAAAAGCAGTAAACTGGCTCTGTTAGCGACAATTGAAAAAATATTATTTAAAAGAAATCCCAAAACGAAACAGAAACTGGAATTACTTTCCGTCAAAAAATTGCAGTTTGAGACTTAATTTTTCTTCACGACAATTGCTTTGAAACAGGACCTATCTGCTGCTAGATAATAACACGACAGTGCGGCACAGTATACACAAGTGTTACAGGCGAGCGGTGCAGGGAGGCACAAATACGCACGCAACTGAACAGGGAACGACGTGGCTCTACGGTAGGCACAGTTATCGCTTATTGCAGAGGGTTCGGCGTTCGAATATGGAAGGTCACCCCGGTTATTACCCGTGGGTGCAATTCACTCCAAATGAGACGTCGGCTGCTTCTGAGTTTACACTCAAGATCCAGTGTCACGTCACACGTAAAGAGTGGGCCAGTGTGTGCTGGCATTGTGGTTCAACATTTGCAAAAATTAGAAAAATCACCTGCAAATTATTACATTGGAATTAGACACGGCAACAGCGCCCCCTACTGGGAAACTACTGTAGTCTATGTCTGTGACATCCCCTTGGTGACAGCCTTGCAAATGTAGTCATTAATACAGTATTCATATCTCGAAATTCACTTAGCTGTAAAGCAGTAAACGACTGATAAATGCCGTGGGGGTTGTTTAACCATACTTCACCATACTGGCCCGCGTGGTGAAGTGGGTTGCCCAGGAACGGTTCAGACACGGTTCGGACACCATTTGCCGCTGATGTTAGCTGTGGCCGGGAATCAAACTCAGGTTGCCAGGTTCACAAGGCTTTGTGCAAACCACTGTACCACCACTCCACCGCACAATCGTATCTTCCCTGTTTATAAAGGCTATCTATCAGATGTGTAACGAAACATCAATAAAAAAATGTTGTATTGATATTTTAAGCAGGCTATATATGCATTGAATCACATGTGTAAGAATTCATTTTTATTTATGTACACAATGGGATCATGTGACCCCTGCAACCACTAGGGGCCGCTACAATGTTGCAGCGTGACAGTCACCACAAAAAAATAATTGACTGATTCTTAAACTGAACCACAACCCATACATGGAAGAGTGTGTTAAATCGCTGGGTCGTGGGCATAGGATGTAGCGAATCATCGCACACTTAATAATAGGGTTTTCCCCCTTTTTTGTGGCAACAAAACTGAAACCTTTTTACAAGGACTCATATGTGCATTAACCACAATACTTGTGGTCAAAATGCAAACAAAAAACACTCTGATATGCCTTGTCCTTGAAACTGATTGGTCCACACCAGAGATGGCTTTCTTTTGAGCCTCGTCTCAATTGGTGCTCGACCGTGCATATATTATCAGTGTGTTTTTTGGTTTGCATTTTGACCACAAGTATTGTGGTTAATGCACACATGATTCCGTGTAAAAAGATTTCAGTTTTGTTGCCAGAAAAAAGGGGAAAAACTCTATTATTATATTTTGGTACTGGCAAAGGAGGTCTAATGATGTAGATGCTCACCCCGAGCCCTCATTACTTTGATAGTGCATTGTCTTTGAGCTGTACGCCTTTTGGCGTCCTCTGGTCTAGCACCAATTGAGACGAGGCTCAAAAGAAAGCCGTCTCTGGTGTGGACCATTTAATCAGTTTGTTTGCATTTTGACCACAAGTATTGTGCTTAATGCACACATGAATCTTCGTAAAAAGGTTTCAGTTTTGTTGCCAGAAAAAAAGGGGAAAACCCCTATTATTATATTTTGATACTGGCAAAGTTGGTCTAATGATGTACATCACACACTTCTTTATCCATGTATCTATTCATACAAAATTAATGGGGATGGGGGGGGGGGAGAAGCTTGGATAATAATAATTTAAAGCAACCCTTGCTCTACCTCTGCAGAGCAGGGCTGCTCTCATTTTTTTGCTCACGTGATTCGGGAGGCAATTCGCCCTGCAAGATCTCCGCCCCAGCCACCACACCTCCCGCTACTGACCGCAAAAGACAGCACTGGATTTCTGGCAGCTCGCATTAATGGACACGCAACGCGATGATGAGGATGATGGGACTCCCCAACATGACCCTCTTTAATTGCCTGTTACACACCGTGGCTCAAACGCAGCTCCCGTGGTGCCACTGTACGCTTTAAAGCCAAAACGGTTTACGCACACAAGCCCCGACAACAATTCCGGTTCGGCATAGGCACGCGAGCTAACCGTCTAAAAGTTAATAAACCGATTTCCACGAGTTCGTGTGTATGTGTGCCCGCGCGTGTGTATATGTATGCGTGGCTGGCATGACAACTGTAGCCCACAGTGAGAGACGCTTTTTTTCCTGCCTCGTAAAAGTGTAGGCCCACAAGGACACGTGCTAATCGCACACCAAAAAAGCGGGCGGTCACTTTTGTTCCATATCCAAACAAAGCCTCGCCGTGCACTAACTTTAATCAATGGTTGAACTTGCAGAGTGTGCGCGTTTGTGTGTATTGTAGGTGTGTGTGTATTGTAGGTGTGTGTGTGTATTGTAGGTGTGTGTGTGTATTGTAGGTGTGTATATATATATTGTAGGTGTGTGTGTAGTAGATGTGTGTGTGTTGTAGGTGTGTGTGTGCGTGTTGTAGGTGTGTGTGTGTTGTAGGTGTGTGTGTTGTAGGTGTGTGTGTGTAGTAGATGTGTGTGTGTGTTGTAGGTGTGTGTGTGCGTGTTGTAGGTGTGTGTGGGGAGCGATAGTGTAGCGGTTAGCGCGCTGCGCTATGAACCTGGCGACCCGGGTTCGTTTCCCGCTCACGGCCAACACCAGTGACGATTATCTGAACCGGTCCCGGGCCTCCCCTAGGTCGACTCAGCCTCAAATGAGTACCTGGTGCGGTGTGTAAATATTGCCACTAGGGTCGGGCGTGGTGCTGGCCACCCACCCCCTCGTGTACCGTGCCTTCATAGGTGCTTGCTAACAGCACTTGCCCCTATATGGGGGATCTTTGTCTTTGTTGTAGGTGTGTGTGTGTATGTAGGTGTGTGTGTATGTAGGTGTGTGTGTATGTAGGTGTGTGTGTATGTAGGTGTGTGTGTATGTAGGTGTGTGTGTATGTAGGTGTGTGTGTATGTAGGTGTGTGTGTATGTAGGTGTGTGTGTATGT